AGTTACTCAGGTACAGACCAAAGACACCCTTAAACACAGACCGTGGACTCTCTCAGGCACAGACCATATACCCCCTCAGACGCGGACCATGAACTCCCTCAGACCCAGACCATGTACTCCCCATAGGCGCATACCGCAAGCGTCGGCAGACCCAGACCACAGGCCCGGTCGGACACGGACCACACACGCCCTAGACCGTGACCGCCAGGTGACGTCAGTGGCGTCAGGCCGGCACGGGTATCTGCCCAGCACGTCGGCCGTCCCGTAAACAGGATCGGGCGGCGCCGGAGCGGCCGGCCGGCAGTTGCGACAGAGGGCCTCCTCCGACACCCGGAATCCGGCGTGGGCTCTGGCGGCACGCACCGCGCCGGCTGAGGCCGCTCGTCCCACGCACCGTGAGACTGGCGGATGGGTTGGCGTACTCAGCGGCGATGGCTCTCAGTCCCAGAGCCAATTACGGTGGCTATCGCCGCCGGGTGATAGCGAATGGCGGGGTATTAGTGGCGGGCCATTACAGCGGCATTCCACAGGGTAAACTGAAAGACAATGTTTGATGCCTGCTTGGAAAATGCTGCTAGGTACTACTGTCTTGAGGGAATGTGTCCAGCATTGGAGGGAAGGGGGAGGAGAAGAGGCTCAGAGGCATCTTGATTGGCTTCAGTCCATGCACCACCATAGACCTGATGCGAAGCCTTCCCAAAGGTTGGGAGCCAGGTCCTCCCATGACGCCAGTATGTACCACCCTCAACAAATAGCACCTACTGTAACAAACGTCTCCCTATTGCTAACATGAAGTGTCCCGCTTATCAAAATCATTAAAACGGTACGTAATGGTAGAGTGCGTATGCTACGCGATGAGCCATGTCAGCGACAAGCTTATTCCGAAGCCATTTATCAACGCTTGAACGCCATTTCAGACATGAGGCCGCGGTGAACTCGAAACAGCGGTAAATCGACGACGTCATCACTCAATCCATCATTATGTCACCGTAAGGCGTGAAGTCCACACACCATTCACCATTCGCCCGCCGACAGTGCACGCCGGGACTCCGGGCACGCACCTGACCCTCTGTTTGAGAGCAGCAGTGCCTACTCGCGCCAATACACACCCGAGCGTCACCGACGGCTTGCATCAAACGCGGCTGGATCGGGCTCGGGTGCCCTTTACGCGCGGCTCCACGCACCTTGCCATGCTTTCTCGACGTTGGGTGTGCGACCAGCGCTTACGCTCCCAGCACGGTTGTGAAGTCTCAGCGTCGAGGCCGTAACTGGAAAGACATGCGGCGGAGACTACTGGAGGATGCGGTAGGTGAACATACAAGACCGGCAAGCTCTGCAGTCGCCACATCAGATTCAGACCTTCGTCTTTCCAAAATTTTAACACACGCTCTTGCAGCAGTTCCACAAACCGACTCCAGCAAATTCACAGTCCGCTCAAAGTTTACGACAGGTGCGTCACGTTTGTGCCAGGCGATGTTTTCTACGTCGGCTCCATCTTTGATTCGACTCCAAATCTGACCCATTAAGGAACAGCGCACGAACATAACACCTCCAGCTGTTAAAAACAATGTTCACGTACTTAGGTGTGACATGTTTGCACAGCAATTTGGGCGACCACCACACAGGCAGCAAGCAAACACCGCCGGCGAGCAGGCTGTCGCGCTCCCGCCATTCGGAGCTGCGGCCTACGAACTCGCCCACCCTCCTCACTTCAATCCAGGCGGGCTGCACGGAAAACGTACCAGCCAGCACTAGCCCGGAAGAAACGCGGGAAAGAACGTGACGCAGTCGGAGGTGCGCGGCACGGGCAGGGAGTACCCATCCCGCGCTACGGCTCCGCAGCCTGGGCACCGACTCCGGCCGGCCGGGAGCGGTAACCAGGTGCGGCAGCCGCGGACCGCGTCATGTCGGCTAACGCTGGGACAGCCCAGCTCAGACTACGGAGACGCTCCCAGCGCGGGCGGGCGCCCTCCGGTGGCCTGTCTGCCCCTGACGCCGGGACAGCCCGGCTCAGACTACGGAGACGCTCCCGGCGCGAGCGGGCACCCTCCAGTGGCCTGTCTCCCTGACGCCGGCACAGCCCGGCTCAGACCACAGAGACGCTCCCAGCGCGAGCGGGCGCCGTCCGGCGGCCTGTCTCCCTGACGCTGGGACAGCCCGGCTCAGGCTACGGAGACGCTCCCAGCGCGAGCGGGCACCCTCCGGTGGCCTGACTCCTGACGCTGGGACAGCCCGGCTCAGACTATAGAGACGCTCCCAGTGCGGGCGGGCACTCTCCGGTGGCCTGTCTCCCTGACGCTGGGACAGCCCAGCTCAGACTACAGAGACGCTGCCGGCGCGGGCGGGCGCCGTCCGGCGGCCTGTCTCTCCTGACGCTGGTGGGCCGGCCCGCGCCGCCGCCGCCAGACGCGCCAGACCGACGCGGAGCGGGTCGGCGGGGACCAGGTCCGCCCATCCTGGGCTGCTTTCCTCATTGGTAAAGTACTCACCTAAGTTGCTACCTACAACTTCGCAGGTGCCTTCGTCACACACAAGCGGCTATCCTTCAAGCCGTACGAACTGTTGTCACGCACTTACCTATGAAATCATGGGCTCCGACTCGTGAACGTCGTCTGGAAATGGAGAACGCGGTCCAAGCGCTGTGAACTGACCGGTAGCGGATCAGCGCCGCAAGTCCCGACATCAACGGAGGCTTATCGTCGCCGATCGCCGCCCGGCTCAGCCGACCAAAATACCGGCCACTGCGAACTACGTACGGGCTGGTCGCCCCGCAAAAACAAAAGCTCAAGTCCTTCCTTGGTCATTCTAGCGTTTTTGATAGCTGCACAGCCAACGTGCCGAAGGTGAGCATCGGTGACTCATTTTCGGAGCCGTCAGTAGCGGCTGGTGTTAACGTCAACACCGGGCCTAACGCGCCAACACACCGACCCAGCTCCGCAGGTGATAACACACACGCCCTATATCGAAAACGCAATGTATTGGCTCAAAATCGATTGGACGTTTGCCATTCACTTTACTTCAATGTCCACAGGCACAAGAGAAAGGAAACCACAGGCTCCTTGAAATAACAGAGACTGCACGATCACCGCACACTACGCCGCTGCGATCAATCAACGCACGCGAAGCGTACCTGAGCTCCACGCAGCGCCACTCACGAGTCTTATTGTACTGAAAGATCCACCGATAACAAAACGTGTCAACTTCTGCAGTCTGCACGAAAGCAGAGGTGCAGCAAACACAGCCTCCGGAACAACCAGATAACGACCGGGCAGCGCCAGCCCGCCAATTGCGCATCACCGGTGCCACGGGGACCGGGACTCTACAGACGGCGCAAACAGCGCCGATAGCGCGCACACCGGCGGACAGAGCAGCGGCTGGCCCCACCAAGTCGTGTCGAGCCTGCCTCTTCCGTCCCGGATAGCAGGCGATGCCGGCCAGCGCTGAGGCGCGCAGTTCCTGATTCACGGGCTCCCCGAGGAGGAGCCGGCGTCGCCCCGGCCCGGCCCGGGAGCCGCGCCGGTCGCCGGCCCGGCACCAGCGCCGGACCGTCCTCGCCGAGGGCCCCACGACATCCGCTGGCCAGTTGTGGCGGGCCGACAGTCGGCGGCCGTGCCGCGCAGGCCGGCCGCCGGTCGCCGGTGAACGCTATCCGCTCCGGAACGGCAGACGCTCGAGCTGGCGCGGCCTGTCGGTCGGCAGACGAGGGAAGGTCAGCCGGACGCTGCTCAGCTCTGAAGGGCAGCTCACCGGACCGGGCCGGCAACAGCGGCTGCCATGCTCACCGACGGCAGACGCCATAACACCGGGTACAGATGTGCAGGTCAGAGCGACGACACGCCTGGCCCGGCCCAGACCCTGCACCCCCATGCCACACATTTCAAACAGCCAGAACACGCTTCGTAAATGAACCATACTAGCTATTTTAACAGTACGGCGATATATCCGGCGCTCCGAACACTTCAGTACCTCGGCAGTGGCCACTGACATATTGGGATGGTAGACACAGGGAGCGACCACGACTCGGTGTAAGGCCAGCACAGCACATGACCAGTATGTCTGCACGCTGCACGCCACGTTACATCATTGACCGGTTCTGCCTCTGGGGCTGTCCCCATTCACCAGGGGCCCGATCGGCCCATCCATCAGCGGCTGCCATATCAGCAGACCGATGCTGGCACACAGGAGCGGACCGGTCAGCGGTCAGGAGCGCAGGAGCGGTCAGCGGTCAGGAGCACAGGACCGGTCAGCGGTCAGGAGCACAGGAGCGGTCAGTGTTCAGGAGCACAGAAGCGGTCAGCGGTCAGCAGCACAGGAGCGATCAGCAGTCAGCAGCACAGGAGCGGTCAGCGGTCAGGAGCACAAGACCGGCCAGCGGCCAGGAGCACAAGGGCGGTCAGCGGTCAGGAGCGCAGGAGCGGTCAGCGGTCAGGAGCACGGGGCCGGTCAGCGGTCAGGAGCGCGGCAACGGTCAGCGGTCAGGAGCGCAGGAGCGGTCAGCGGTCAGCAGCACAGGAGCGATCAGCAGTCAGCAGCACAGGAACGGTCAGCGGTCAACAGCACGGAAGCGGTCAGCGGTCAGGAGCACAGGAGCGGTCAGCGGTCAGGAGCACAGGAGTGGTCAACGGTCAGAAGCACAGGGCCGGTCAGCGGTCAGGAGCACAGGACCGGTCAGCGGTCAGCGGTCAGGAGCACAGGAGCGGTCAGCGGTCAGCAGCACAGAACCCGTCAGCGGTCAGGAGCACAGGACCGGTCAGCGGTCAAGAGCACAGGAGTGGTCAGCGGTCAGGAGCACAGCAGCGGTTAGCTGGTCGCGTCCATCCATCAGCCGGGGCCCGCTACCCGGACCACGCTCTAACAAGTCATGGCCAGCTGGCCGTCAGCCGGCTCTGGCCTGCGCCCTCACCCCACTCACAGAGGCCGACTCGGCGGGCGGGCGTGGCCGCTCGGAAACTCTCGGCAGGCTGGACGACCGGCCGGCCCGGCTCGGCGGCCGGCCCCGCTCACGACGCCCACGCCAGGAAGTCGGGCACGGTGCGCGTCGGCACGTCGAACGAGAGCGCCTTCAGCCGCAGGTTGCGGTCGTCCGTGAGCAGCACCACCTCACGGGTCACGTGACGCACGCCTGCCGGGTCACGGGCGCACGTGATGCACCCCTCTCGGTGCTGACGCGCACTCGTGACACGTTGACCTGACGTACGTGTGGCAGGGTGGCGGGCACATTTTCGGGTTACTTATCGATGCGTGCAACTAGTATTGTCACCGCCGCCGCCACACAATGGCGAAGGCGGAAGACAACATGCACCAAGGTCACACGGCGACCTGTGCGGGTCAGGTGTGCGTGACGCTCGTCTCCAGGTGTCCCGATGTGGAGCCCCACCCGTACCGCCCGAGCAGTCTGGCGCACGAGCCGCTCATCACTGCGCCACGTTCACGGAGCGGGCGCGTCGCCACAGTACACATCTGCCCGGAGCGTCACGGGACACACGGGGAGTCAGGGTAGCGTGACGGCCACGTGGTACGGCCACCGAGCGGCGCCGCAAGGTCGCCGGCGAGACGGCGGCGTCCGGCGTCACTGTTTTATGGAGGATATGGACGCGGCCGGGCGCGCCCCGCAGCACCGGCCGAGCGAGCGCAGAGACGCCCCCGCGCGACCTCGCTCCGCACCCGACAGCCGCTCCGGTGTGTGGCACGGATCCCCCCGGACGCGCTCTACAACCGACAGCCGCTTCGGTGTGGAGCACGAGTTCCCCAGCCTCGCTCCACAGCAGACAGCCGCTCCGGTGTGAGACACAAATCCCCCCCCCCCGCCGCGCTCCACAGGTCGTCAGCGGTCAGCAGAAGCGCCCCCGTCCTTCCCCTCCACCTTCCGACTCTCCGCATCACTGCGAAGGACGCTTAGAACCGTAACCAACTACCGGCAAATTGTGCGCTTTCTTTCTGTGACGAATTCAAACAAGTATGCACATCGGCCGTCAGGAGTCCCTAATTACGGTCCTCGCGGCCACCGGTCATTCATAAGGACGCGGCCCGCCGGTGCCGGTACCGCAAGGCCAGGGCCAGTCGGCGGCCGCGCGCACACCGCACCGACGTCGCGGGCGGCGCGTCCCTCACCGTCCGGCTGCTGCTCCGACGCGCCGCGCTCCAGGTTCAGACAGCAGCTGAGGATGCGGTCGTCGTTGGTGGCCTGGAACGGGACGAGAGCGCCGTGTCACCGATGCTCGGCGGGCCGGGCGGGGAGCTGGCGCCGGCGCCACTGCGCACGCGCCGCCGCCGCCGCCGCCGCACCTCCGCCTCGTGTCATGCGCGTCGCCGTGGCCGCCAGTAGACACCCATACTGCGGCTCTGCGCGCGCAGCACGCCGAGCGCGAGCCGGCGCGAGCGCTCGCGCGCCGGGGGGGCGTGCGCGCGCGCGCGCCGTGCAGTGTGCAGCGCCGCGGCCCGGCGGCTGGGCCACGCCGCCAGTCGCCGTCAGCCGACCGGCACAGCGCCGTAACACGGCGACGACAGCTCTCCGAGTGCCGTCGGAGAGCTCGGCACGTCTTCCCCGGGAGTTATGCCGATGTTTGGGGTGACGGTGCGGAGAGGGCGGGCCGGCACTGGCGGCCCCGTCCGGTTCGCCGCCGGAGTGAGCCGGTCCCGCATACCGACAGCGACGATCGATTGTCGACTGACAGCCGAGTGATTGGGCCGACACGACGACCCTGCCCGCGGCACCGAGCCGCCCGCGAGGTCGATCGCACCCAACTGGTGCGCTGGACCGACTGGTCCGGCGCCATTACCACGCCGTCGGAAAGCGACAGAATACCAACTGCAGGCATTAGCGGAGAGCTGGTGATCTGCGCTTCAGATCGGCTCCGACTCGACTAGCCGACGTGCGATCTGTCGTGATATCCTCGCAATCGCTTGTGTCCGCAGCCGACCCGCGGGCTCGGTGTGCGGTCTTAGTTCATCAGACATCGGCACTCATGGCTGGGCCACCGCCTCTCCGACGAACCCTGCTACGATATCCATACATCCGGCATCACCCGCCCATCTTTTTGGAAAACTCCCCTATGACTTCCTATTCCGTAGACTTAATTCGTTTTTCCCCACCGTCTCTGAAAATAAAGGCCTATCGGGGAAATACTAGGTGTACAGCGTACCTGCCAACGCACGGGAGACTGATCTGTCAGCCATTGGTTTGTGGCACGGCGCCGACCGCCTGCAACTCTTAATCGAACGGTAAGCCGGTTGCTGACACATGGACAAAAACACAGAACGTCCCGATGGCACCAATCAAATGTCAACGACAGAGTGCATTGAAACGCAATGAGGCAAAGCGAGCAGGGACAAACGGGCAGAATTAACTTGGTAGGGGATTGCTTGCCACGGAGTTCTCAGGTCTCCCATGCCATGTGCTACACCCTTTTTGCTGGTAAGGTCCTAACATCCGTGAGAGCATTGTATGACAAGCACGCTTCAATGCATTGCAACAGGTGGGTCACGCTTGCAGGTCATGCGACTCAACAGTCCTTGGTATATTCAAACGTAACTCTCCAGGCACCAAAGCCGGCACGCTGCCCAAACTAAACAAACGGCGCGAGGAGTGGCTTGTCGCTGACGCCGGCCAATACATTGCACAATGGAGCCCATGTGAAGGTCTGTCTTCTCCCCTGCAACCGCAAACGTATTGCGCAAGCCAACAGGTAAGAATAGTGTATGGTGGATCTCCATGCACATTTTGCACACCCATGTCCCACAACTGAATCGCGCGGCGCCATCTCCCCCCCCCCCCCCCCCCCACTCCCCCAAGCGAAGCGGCGTACCAGCTTGGCGACTGTCCCACACTGCGTCGCGTCGCGAAGATCTCGCCGAATGTTCAGCTCATCCCGCAGCTCGCCGCGGCTGGCGGACGGCCGAAGGACAATCGGCGCCGAGGACGGCGAGCGTGGCGGCGGCCGCCAGCCGCCCGGTAGCTTACTGTCTCGGCTCGAGCGGCCGCCGACAGCGCGCGCAGGCCGCACGCCCTGCAGGCGCGTCACTCAACGCGCCGGCGCCCGCTGCGGCCGGGCGGCCACAAGCACGCGTATTCCTAAACGAGCACATACACCCACCCGCGCAACGAGCCCACCTTTACCTGAGAACCACCCAAACAAAAGCGGCGGCTGCACTTCCGAGCGGCACAAGACAGCAGAAGCGTATCATCAGACAGCAAAACAGCCCGGCACAGTCGGCCAAACGCACCGCGATCAATACCAACCAGCCCAAACGATCGCCGGTAAAGCGGCCGCAAACGACCGATGATCGTTTCCGTACGCAGTCTCACACAACAGTCCCACGCCAAGGCTGCGAGTTCAAGCACAAGGCCGCGCACGGCCCCCATTAGGGCCACTTAGCCGTCGGGCGGCGCGCCGCCTCTGTTTGCGCGCGCCGCAGGTGGAGGCGCATCGGAACACCGCAGCAGGTGGAGCCCCCGGGAGGCGGCGCATCCTCGGCCGGCGGCGAGCCTCCGGCGGCCGCGCCCTGTCCGGCCCGGAGGTCGGCCGCACGCTCCACCGGCGACTCCCACGACACGCCGGCGGGCGGCGCCGGACAGCGAGGTCGAGATCGAAGAGGGATGCACGCTGACGGACGGGGCGCGTGACTTATTCTGCGGTGTTCGCTACCCGACTTTCATCAGGCTCGCCGCTATAGCATGCACAGCAGCCGCTTCACCGCACTAAACCCAACAGCCCTCCGCGGATGCATCTGTTACCCTTTCAGCATCGTGTACCGCTGCTTCTAAGTACCCGGTCCCCGTTACCACGAACAGCCACCCAACTTTCGGTCACTCCCGTGCGTCTGCGTCTGGAGCATCACGTCCCACAACGCCATGAGCTGCCCACGGCATGTCCCTTCTCCGCCGCAGACGACCGCTCCGACCATGTGAAGACCGCGCAGGTGGGAGACTCCGCAGCCGAGACAGCATTGTGAGCCTCATGATTATGAAGTAGACAGGGTTCAAGGGTTGACTTTTTTGGCGACCTCAATTATGGCACGCGGCGATCGATTTACTGACTTGTGAAAGGCAATTATTGTGAGCAAGGGAGGTCCCATTACGGACATCCGCTTTGGTGTGACTCCAAAATGCAACGAAACAATTGCAGCAACCGGCATTGCCGATAACAGTTTTTAGTCAACTATTAGCACACGCTCCTGATTCATTTGTCCTTTTTGTGCCAGTAGGTTTTTCTTAATGTACCACCTTTGCAGAGCTCAAGAATTAGCGTGGGCTGTACGTGGGAAGCACGTGGTGCTGCGTGTTCAGCATCATTTTATTCCATTACATCACGGCCGGGGACAAGGCGCACCATTGACAGCAGACCGCGATTTGTTCCGGATTAAATGCTGCTTTTTAGTCAAAGTTTTCCGTTCGTTCTGAGAGATAAGGCAAGGAAACTATGTAGGTAGGTCCATGCTATTTCAAGATATGTTCTGAGGCACCCTGTAGGCCTCACGAGAGTGATGCCTTGCACACGACCTACAACGTCGGATGCTGACCATGTGTACCATCAAATGGTCCGTAAGCGATGAAAATTGTGACAAAAAAGATGACAGTAACACACCACGCATATCCTCCTTCCCTAACAGTCTGCGCTGCGCCTGAATGCCCTCATTACCCTTTTTGCTTCAAGTTTAACAACCATTTGAACATAAACGAAATGCGGAAGGACCACCTTCTCGCGATACGGCAAGGCTTTAAGTACCGAAGTGTAATAATAGGGTAAAAATGCAACGGTTATCTACATGACGCACGTTTTTCCTTAACGACATTGAGGGCTCGCAAGCAGCGCATGTCTTATGACATTCACATCGTACGACCACTGAAGAACTCGAGGCTGCGGAGGTTTCAGCAGTGAACGGACGAGCCCGATAGCACGGATGTTTAAGGTCTGCGTGTGACGTCACGACGAAACAATCCGGATCGCCGCTGGCCGTTTCACGCCAGCCCAGCACCACTGACCACTGCCCTGATCAATGTCACGTGGTACGATATATTTCTTTATATACATACATACATACATACATACATATATATATATATATATATATATATATATATATATATGTATATATATATATATATATATATATATATATATATATATATATATATATATATATATATATATAGCCCTACATGTTGAAGAACACCCATGTGGGTTACAATTTAGGCGAGGACGGCGAGAAGTCAACAAACTTTACGGAACATTTTATCTAATTTTTCAATTACTCAACATTCTGCGATGCGTTCAAAGTGTTACAAAATCCGGTTTTTCTGGTGAATGATTTTCTGGATTTTTTTGTCGCAGATGATAGACGATTTGCTCATCACATCCCACCCCACTTCGCCATGCTGCACCGCCTGATTCTTCATATTCCAAATATTTTCATGGCTGCCAAAGGGGTAACCACTAGTGGGATGGGGAGGCAGGAAAAACATGTTCCTCAAGTCAGCTGATGGGCCTCCACACCCCGCCCTTTGATATTCTCTGCAGGACGTATGGTCCTCGCATCTGGGCCCTTTGGTATTCTCTGCAGGACGTATGGTCCTCGCATCTGGGCCCTTTGGTATTCTCTGCAGGACGTATGGTCCTCGCATCTAGACCCCTGATATTCTCCGCAGGACGTATGGTCCTCGCATCTGGACCCTTCGGTATTCTCTACAGGAGGTATGGTCCTCTAATCCGGACCCTTTGATATTATCTGCAGGAAGTATGGTCCTCGCATCTGGACCCTTTGATAACTTTGATATTCTTTGCAGGACGCATGGCCCTCACATTTGGACCCCTTGATATTCTCTGCAGGATGTATGGTCCTTGCATCTGGAAATGCGAAATTGTCAGTTTCCCGAACCTAAATTGTATCCTTGCCCCACTTCTGTCTTTTCCGTCCCATGTTAGGTAAAGCCCAAAATTGGTGGTACCGTTTAATGTCAGGTAAAGGGAGGCCTGCTGATGATGGGGTCATTTCGCGGCAAAGTGGAGCCAAACATGTTCATTTATCATCATGTGGTATGTTAATACGCGACCCGGTGAGGGTCAGTTTGACCCCCGAAGGTATTAACATAATAATTTCCGAACGACACGGCGAAACCACGCTAAATTCGCACAGCTGTAGGCTATTGAATAGCAGATCTTTTGGTATACAAAATTAGATGCGCCTTGTGAGGTCACTGACCTATGGCAGGTCAAAGTCAGGTCATGGCTGTCACCAAAGGCAATTTCTAGTGACTCGTTCAATCTGATGCGACAACGAAGTGTAAGTCTCTCTGTCCTTCGCGATTTACGACGCACTCAGTTACTTAGGTTACATGGCGCCGCCTGCCTCTCACCCTGGCAGGGAGGGTGGGCACCGCGGGGAATCCAACCCCGTTCCTCTGGTTTCCCAGACGCGAATTGGTCAACGTGGACGCGTCAACCACTACACTATCGGCAACCCAGGCAGTTTTGGACAGAGCCATACATCTCTGAAATAATTTGTAGGCAACAAACAATCAATTTTAGGATTATAACAAATTCCGTTGACGTGGGGTCAGATACGCGCGTCAGACTGAGGTCAAAACCAATCTGCTCTTTTACTAGAAAGCTTGTTGTATGAAGTAGTTCCTGGAGCTCATTTCGAAGCTATTAATAACAAGGACCACCACAGACACCTTCCACGGACCTCTCAAAAGACGGAGTAAGTCACCCACCTAACATGACCCAAGCCAGCATTTTGTTTTTTTAGCATAATACCTAGCGTAATCCTTGACATTCGTTCCAAAGCAAAAAATCAAAACAATATCGTAGCACGTTGATTACCATGATCTTTACATGTCAAACAAGGTCACTGACCTGAAATGGACACAAGAGGCCTTTTGCTTAGAACAGGTATCTAAGTTCAAGGCGGTTGCGTGTGGAGGTCCGGGAAAACTTTGACTCTGACTAACTTTGACTTTGACTTTGACAAACACCAATCTGGAGTTTGACATTGTTTGATCTTATTTTGCCCGACGGTCGTGACCAAGAAACTTCAAATTTTGGCACAAGTGAGTTCACATAGGGGCCCACCCTGTGATTTTTGTGTCTAGCTCTCTAAATTTGGAGATCTCAGCGGGTCAAATTGGCCCCTGCATCCGAGCGAAGAGCGTTCAACCGACCACACGGGCGCTTCTTAAACCACCATGATCGTGAAGGTAGGCATATTTTACGTTTTCGTACAGGTTGGGTGAAATGACGTCAATAGAAGTGAACATCTGTGCATGGCACGGTGGACCGTATAAGGATTTAGCGGGGCGTGCATTGATGGAGGTTGGATCGTGTGCGTCACCAAACCACGTGATATTCCGCTGGCATATAACTGTTTTATAAACGCAACCTTGCAGTAAACCATGTATCCAAGTAAACACTGCTTCCCAAAGCCAGACACCCCCGAAGAGCTCCTGTGCTCGACGCCATGGGGGAAATCAAAGCCACAGAGCGACGCTTCTTTGAATTCGCATACTAATGGCCGCATCTGTGTACATACTTTTCCCGATAGAGAGGATTTCAAACTCTCGTACCCTCCCTTGCACAAACATTTTGGCCCATCGGTGCATTGAAGACAGTGCATAAGACCCACGTCTGATGAAGTCAAACGACAGGAAAGTAGACATTTCGTGGTGGGGAGCAGGGAATCCAATGATATTTCTCTCGTTATAGCGAGTTTTTCAAGCATAAATTTTGAGCTTTTCCGAAGAATTTCGAGAAAACTAGTATTACCGACCGAATTCGGCGCGTCTGATGAGTGAAAAGTCCAAAAAGGTAGGATAGGCTCCTTAACACCACACCCATGAGCGTTCTGAACACAACTGAAGGCAACTGAACATCGTAACATGGCATTGCAGCCGGGTCTGGGTCCTTCGCCCCCCCCCCCCCCACGTCCCTTCCTCCCCCACGTCCCTTCCTCCCAGTTCACGCGGACAGACACACCCACCGCGCCATCTACATCGTTACGTTCCATGTGACCTTGGATAATGCGTCTGCGTTTGTCAAGTAATTTTTGGCACGCATTTGCTAAATGATCGGCGACAAACGCACAGGCTTCGCTGTTAGTGGTTGAGCAGGTTTTTGGGTGGCAAGCGTCTGAAGAGTGGAATGGGGCTAAGGAGGGGTGAAGTGAATGACTACGGAGGAATAAGAGGACTAAGATGAAGTGCGGACTGATGAGGGGGCAAAGCCCCCCAAAGAATACAACGCTCCTATTTTCTAGAGAACTCCTCTGTTCGCAGCCTCACTCGCTTCATGAAGTTTGTTCCTGGGATGGAAACACAATACAGCACAACAAATTATCCCTTTATAATGGACTCCAGCCTATGCACGTCTGCCAAGAAACATCGCGGAAGGGGCTCAATCTATACCCCGTTCCTTCACGAATGTCTTTCGGACAGCGGGGGATGAGGAAAACGTTTTCCGCGATGATGTCTGTCCAATCCGTGCTTGCCAGACGACCTTGCTTACGGCAGGTGTGCACATTCCTAACAAGGTGACTCCACAGACCGCCGCCACGCACCACGGCTGCTCCCCCCCCCCCCCCCCCCCGCCGCCACAACACCCATGAGACCCACGTGCCGTGTCCGATGCCCCACCCGACCGTCCCTCCGCGCTATCCGTGCCCCCCTCGCCGGGGGCGGCGGCGGAGGCAGGCCGCCCCAACCCTTCCGCCGACGCGCGCGCGGCCGTCGGCGGTGGGGGCGACGCCGCAGCCTGGCACCGCCGCCGGTCAACCTGTCTGCGCCTGGCTCACGGCTCGGCCCCCGTCCAGCGCTAGCAGGAGGTCGATCGGACTAAATGGACTGATAGTGACGATACAAACATTGCTGTATGCATGAGGACGAAGGGATGCGTTGCCACGGACATGACACAATGGCACGGCACGGTGGGCACGTTGGGAAATGAGGGAGCTGCTCCGTAACACGGTCACTCCGCCCACCGTTCCGCCGAGCGGTACGACGGGTGGAGACAGCGGGCGGCCGTACCTCGTCGCAGTCCTGCTCGGCGGTGAACATGGCCGAGCTGAGGAGGTGGCCGCGGCTGGTGACACAGCGCACCTGCGGCTGGCCCCGCTGCCGCACGAACGCCAGCGCGTCGCGGGCCGTGCTGCGCACCAGCTGCAGGTGATCAGCTGACTGGCCGGGCCGCGGCCGGCCGCCGCCCGACCGGGTCAGCCCGTCCAGCTCAGCCACCACTGAAACCAGCCAGCGCCGCGGTGTCAGCGGTACACGACACCGGCGGCGCCAACGATACAGTCAAGAGTGCAGGTCAGGTTACCGCAGAAGGGCGGAGGCTGGTGCAAGGGAACCGTCTAGACCACAGAGGAAACGGGTCAGAGGTCGATGCAATGGGCGCAGTCAAAGTGAACAAGGCGGAGGCGGGTGTAAGAGACAGGCTCAGACCATCAAGGGAGCAGGGCGGCAGCTGATGTGAGGGGGTACAGCCAACCGAGTTAACCGGGTGGAGACCGACGCTACGGCTAAAGTCCAGGGGATTATTGACACCAGCGCCGCCGTACTCCCGGAGCCACCTCAGCGGCGAGAGAGAAGCACGCGTCGGGGACAGCCGTCCGATGAGCTGCCCGCCGGCGGCAGACCAGCCTCGGCGGCGCCACACTTGGAAGGATAGGAATCACCACAGCCGGGCCGACACACGTGCTAAGATGTAAGGCGCACGCCACCGGCCCGCCCTTCACGGAGCATCGCGATCGCGGAGGTCGCGTCCGCGCCCGGCGCGCGGCCGGCACGTGAGCCGGAAGCCGAACCCGGACCTCCAACGCGAGCGCCGCCGGCGAACCAGCTGGACCATCACGCCGCCGGCCGGCCAGCTGGGCCGTCACGCCGCCGGCCGGCCGGCTGGGCCATCACGCCGCCGTCAGGTACCGGTGAAGAGGTCACCGGACGCACGGCCCGCTGCGCCGAGCCAGCCAACCGGCGGCGCTCATCACGTCCCTGCATAATTCTGACGATGTGACGAAGGCCAAGGCGAAAAGGCAGCAATGCTGTCGCACTCGTGACTGTTTCAGACCCGAGGTGACAGCCCGTCAGGACAGGCGGGCGGCCCGGCAAGCTAAGCTATGGTGTGTGAGGGGCGCCGTTTGGCAGCGCTGTTTGACCGTGACAGCCGGCCTTGACGCGGCGACAATTTCACAACGGTAAAGCACAGCGTCGCGCCGGCCCCGCCGCCAGCACCGAAGACGGCGGCGTTTACCGTGCCGCAAACTTCATCTTGCCGGCTTCCTGTGCTCCCCTTTCCTTCGCCATCCACCGGAGCGCGCCCGCCGGCAGCAAAACCCGGCCGCAGCGCAGCGGCAGACATCCCCCGCTCGCCCGTCTCCACCGGCAGACCGAGGATTGAGCCCAGCATCGGGACACACCGCCGCTGTACCAAAACGTCCACCCCGTCACAACCACAGAGCCCGTGGATCTGCGGAGACCGACGGCGCCGTGCGAAGCGGCCGGCCGGCTGGGGACGTCGCCGCCGACCACAAGCCGGCCTTGGCTCCCGCCTGTGCCGGGAACGTCCCGCCGGCAGCGCGGCGCTCACGGCGCCGGACGCGGACGGCTGCCGTGCGATGCGCGGCGATCTCACGGGCCCAGCGACGACGGGCCCGACACCGCCGGCTGCCGACGGCGCGGCGCTCGCGGCGCCGGACGCCGACGGCCGCCGTGCAATGCGCGGCGGTTTCACGGGCCCGACGCCGCCGGCTACCGGCGTGTCCGGAGCGTCCCACGCGGGGCCGGCGGCGGCGGCCAGGACCGACCTGACCCGACCCGGCACGGGCGGGGACGGTCATTGTGTTGTATTCTCGCAGTTGCAGTTCGACAGGCGAATCTCGCCGGGAGGTTTCGGCGATCCGCGTCACACCGCAATAGGGCTGCCCTGTGCCAGCCTGATTCTTCTGGCCAGACGCCACCTGACCGTCAGTGCCGAGCCCCGCCAGCGCGGCTGCCGTCTCTCAGACGCGAACTGACACATGTCGGCCACAAAGCAGTCTAATACCCGCCGCCCTTCCAACTGACCTGTGACGATAGCTACAGGGATGGGCGAGGTGCGTCGGACACCTCAATACCCCTCGCTATAGTCGCCTTGTGCAACGGAACACCGCTCCCAGCGAAACGCTGGGAGCGAAACGCTGGGAGCGAAAGGGTGCCTCACGCTTGGAATCTTCCCTCCACGTCTCGTCCTTTCAGCGCGCCGAGTAAATTCCATGATTGACACTGAACCTCCTTCACGGTGTGATACGGCAACCCTCAAGCCTGAATCGTACCTTGGGGAATAGGAATGGGTGACAGGAATCCAAATCCGGCCTGAAAGGCAGATTGCGAGCGACGAATGCACTGGTGGGCCGAAAACTTCCAACGCATCGTAAGCGGTCTCTTCATGTTGAAGCCCTGGCACCCAATGCTTCCCCCGGACGGACAGTTCAGGAGGGTGACCAAGAGCAAGCTGGTTGGTCTTTTACATTCACGGCATTGTGCAAAGTGAGTTCATCCTCTCCCCCCCCCCCCCCCCCCCCCCCCCAGGTCAGACTGCTGTCAGTGCCGAAATGCATTGTGCCGTTCTGAGGGGTTTGAAGGGGACCATTTGGCGAAAAAGATCTGAAATACGGCGCGATGGCAATCTGGTGTTGACAACGCGTCCGTTCACAGCGTGGTGAGGGCTTCGGGCCATACCAGCGCCATCGTCGCTCTGACAATGACATTGAAATATAGACCTCACCGGAATGTAAATCTCGTCGGTAATGTGCATCTCGTCCAGGGACATCCAAGGCCGTTTCTTTTTTATAGCCTGTCCAGTAATTCCCGAAATCTCCAGGGCAGGGGAAGAGGCGGGGCGGGGAGGGGGCGGTATTCGCCGCGCCCCTGTCAGGAGCAGGATCAATATGAAGAATCCCGAGCAATTTAGAGCCTCTTTGCCAACATCTGATTATGACATGCCATGTTTTGGGGGATCGCACCAGCCAAACACCACGGGCCCGCTCAGAGCCGCACCAAGTCAGCCGCTTTCCGAGGATCATCAGCATTTCTCCCACTGCCCCGCGGCCTTTCTCTTTTTGCCGCCGCGTCAGGCGATGACGTGCCAAACGCCCGGGCGCGAGGTGCATTACCCGTGCACTGGCACGCGATCCGAGGTCGACCCGGGTCCGACGCCCGTGCCGACGGCGCGGGCACCGGGCGCCGCCGACGCTCTCCACGAGCTCACGGCCAAAGGGCGCGCTCGCCGTGAGCGGCTCTCAGCGCCGCTGACCGGCCGACGGCGGCGGACTCGGTGCGTGATGACGAGCGCGCAGACCTGAGCTCTGAGCAGAGCAGGCCGGCCGGGCGGCTGGACCTCGGACGGCGACCAGGCGCCGCGACAGGCGGCGGCATGCTCTGATCGGGGGTAGAGTCCGCCGCCGCGCCGAGCTCGCGTGCTCGGCTAAGCCGGCCGGCGGGGGCTCGCGCGTCATGCAGCACCATGAACGTCGCCAACCCACGACGCTTTTTCCCGGAATGTCATGGAAGCGGGAGCCGACGCGCAAAAATACAAAAGGGAACAAGAAGACGTTCTGTGGCCCGACCTCTGTCTCCGGCGTCGTGACTGGTCGTAATGCGCCTAGCGTTCGCATGCCTCGCGCTCCACACGAGGATCCCGTCTGCCGCGCCCCGAGACAACGCCCAGTACAATCACACCTATCCCAGCGGGCCTAACCCGCTGCTTTTTGTGAGACGTCCCGTGCACTGTTCAGAACTTGCAGCGAGCAGCGGCGGGGCGGGACAGAGTGGCTTATGTACTCGTCCACCCCGCTGCTTTGCGAACTTGCAGCGAGCCGCGGCGGGGTGGGACAGGATGACTTACGGACTCGTCCACTCCGCCGCTTTGAGAGCCATTCGCCACACGGGCTGCGCCGTCGGTTAGTCAACCGAGCGTCACTGGGGCTGCGCGGCGCACCGCGACGGCCAGAAGCTCACGGCCCGGGCATCGGCCCCCGGTCATTAGGCCCGGGAGGAAATTAGAGTCGGCTCCAAAGACGGCCGCACCGCGGGCCGAAATGACGGGGATAGTAGTGGCTGGAAATAAAACCAAGTCACGTAGTTTGGTACGCTGTGCGGTAAGTGTTCGAGAGCGAAGGTCTTGAGGAATGGACAGCCGCTGTCTGACGGGAAGTCAAACATGTCGGCACGCGTCGAATACCAGGGACAGCCACCGATCGATGTTCAAGGGCACTGTGAGCGGGCTGACCATCTCGGAGACGCTAGACGTCAAAACGCTCGGCACTATGGCTTTCTTATTTGTCGGTGTACGGATCCGTGGGCAGGGCAAATTGCCACCCAATGGAGCCACTGCGCCACTCTAGCTGGGCACGTCATGAAGTCACCCGCCTGGTCTCGGCCTGGACTTGCCGTCCCCCACCTAGTCACGGTCGGCGCCACACCCACCCACACCCACCCACATCCACACACCCACCCACACCCCACACCCACACACACCCACACCCACACACGCACACAGGGACGAGCCCGCCACCCCGCCGGGTGACGTCACCCGTCCCCCTGGGCGCGGGCCCAGCGCTGGCAGCGGCGGCTCGGCGGGGTCACGGCAAAAACACGAGCCGCGCGCACAGTCAGCGGCCGCACCCCATCCGGGCCGGCGCCGTCCCAGCACTAGGGTTACCGGGCCGGCGCAAAAACGCGCGTCTCCACCATGGCGTCATCATCGCAGAGAAACCATCAGAGCAGGGCTGTGATTACCGTAAACAGACCTGGGCCATGGGGTGGACAATCTACTAAAGGATAAAGAACGTTTATTAGTTATCAATTCTGTTGCAGTAGGTGAATTACAGCGAGTCTCGGCAATGGAAGAGCAAGACAGGCAGTACGGAGAGGCAACTTCGCAACTAGAAGTCAGTGCCTCATAGAAGCAATTTGATGTAAAATATTGACAAGCTGCTCCCTGCCTACTTATCCGTGCTGATGATGGCGAACTCGGGCGACACTGGCGGCGAGGTGGGACTCGCGACGCCAGACCCAGACGCCGCCGGGCGTCACGTTTGCTGGGACGGACCGTTCAGGCGATGGCGCCATCACACTCCAATGTGCCGACTGCGGCGGCCCTCTCTCGCCGGCGTGTACATCCGCACACCCGATGCCGAGAGATACACGGAGGAGTCGAACATGACGTGATCTAGCGCGCCGCAGTCTACGTGCGCAAACACAAGCGCAGCTACCGTGTTCACGACCAGCAGGGTCGTGTCCTGGCCCGGGCGTGCTGCCACGAACGTGACCCAGCCAAGCCGGCGAGTGGTCAGCTTGGTCAATAATGCGACTCCGAGGGGGGAGGAGGGGGGGTGGGGCGTCAGAGCCAGCCGTGACGGACCGCCATGAATGGCGCGTCCAGCGATGAAGGGCGGGGCCATGCGCCATTGCAGAGATGGCTTACACCTGTTCGTTCACCAGTCAGCATGTGGCCATTCTCGGACCACTTCCCAATAATTGGTCGAAGCATTAGTGCAGGTCAGCATGAGGTCGGGCGCGAAAAGGATACGACGCCGGTGTGCATGGATAGCAAGCGCCGACTGGACACTTCTCCGAGACTTGGGAGTCTCGCGAAGCATGAATAGGAGCAGTGACCCCGTAGTACCAGACGACGGGCCACTCCAGTCAAGAGCGGAGCAGGACAAATGCCACGACATTCAGCTCCCTCGACGGGTTACTACTGTGCGTTGCAAGGCGCGACACACCCGTTTGTGATCCGAAGCAGCGTGGACGGTCCGATCAACATGGACACAGTGGCTTCCGACCAGACCCTGGTCCTAACAATACCCGACCAGACCCAGCTCCCAAGCACCACCCCGACCAGATCCTGGTCCCCGCCATCCAACCCGACCAGATCCTGGTCCCCGCTACCACCCCAACAAGACCTTGGTCCCCACCTCCACCACGACCAGATCCTGCTCCCCACTACCACCCCGACCAGACACTGGCAACTACCACCACCCCGACCAGACCCTGGTAACCACAGGTCCTTCCCGGAGCAGACCCTGCTCCCCACCACCACCCCAACAAGACCCCGGTCCTCACCACCATCCAGACCAGACCTTGGTCCTCACCACCACCCCGACCAGACCTTGGTCCTCACCACCACCCCAATAAGACCCTGGTCCCCACCTCCACCCTGACCACGCCCTAGTAACCACCACCACCCCGACCAGACCCTGGTTACCACAAGTCCCTCCCGGAGCAGACCCTGGTCACCACGACACATTCCTCCCAACTCAACTCTGATCATCACGACCCGCCCTCCCTACAACCAGACCCCCCGCGCCCCGCTGCACGGCCCTCCGGTGCCCATCCAGGCCTCTCACCAGTCACGGGCACGGTCAGAGTGTAGGCGCTGTGCGTGCTGACCAGCCTGCGCAGCTCGTCCAGGTAGTCGACGAAGCAGTTTGTGTCGGCCACCAGGAAACGCGGCCGAACCTCCATCACCACGCTGGCAGAGGCCGAGGACACGATCGCCTGCCGGCGCCGGTCACCGGCCGTTAGGGTCCAGTTGAACGAGTCAGTGTGTGCATTCATAACTCGGCTATTCTGGGTGACAACCCGCCAAGGAACATTTGTCTAGCTTATGTTTTGAAGTGGAACAGTAAAACCCACCTCGTGGATTGTTCCGAGTGACCTGAACTGGACTTTAGGTCGGTGCGAGCGGCCGCCGTCGCCCTTTGGCCGGCCACTGCACACACTGACTCAAGAGTACCGAGAACGCAGCGGCAAAAGTGGTTCCCATGCATCCAGACGTATGGAAGCTACACAGGCGTCGCAAAGAAGAGAGATGGGACAGTGCAGAAATGCAACAGAAAACAGTGGATGTGAGCTGACATCCACGTATCACTAGCGTGTCGACCATACGCATTTCGAACTAAAATATGATGACCTGCGTGACTTCGGTTCCAACGACAACTCTGCTGGAGGTGCGGCGAGAGCGCCGCGCGCGCGTACCTGGACGCGCCTGCTGTGCTCCTCCTGGCGGAGAGCGCGCCGCTCGAGCGCCAGCTTCTGCTGCCGCAGGCGGTGCAGGTCGGGCCGCTCGGCGTCAGCGGGCGCCGGCTCGTCAGGCGGTCGGGCGGCCGGTGCCACCGGCTCCGACCACTCCACCAGCACGTCCGGCTCCGACTGGTGGCGTGGGGACAGCCGGTCAGCCGGGCCCGGGCCAGCGACATCAGCAGGCGAGGCAACGGCACGGAGGCGACGCCACGATTCCACAAGCTCGTGCCATTTCGCTTACAGACAACGATGTCCTGCATGTCAAACCAAAGCCGCAGTCTCCCTCGCTCCGCTGCACAGTCAACATGCCGCTGACGCATACGGGCGCGTGTCGACCCGAGCAGTGCAGCACGACCGTACACCGGCGTCCGGTCGCGGCCTCGGCCCCGGCGCCCGCTCACCGTGGCCTCCGGCTGGGCAGCCGGCTCGGGCGCCGTGTGCGACGCCACCTGGCTGATGTAGCGGCACGAGCCGTCGGCCGCCTTCAGCAGGCGCAGCGCCGCCGGCTCCGTGCCGCACAGGTACTCCTGTGTCACGAACGTGATGCGCCGCAGCCGCAGCAGGTCACGCGCCAGCTCCTGGCGGGGGGCGCGGCACGGTCAGCGGCGGGGACGGCCGGCGCCGCCTGCTCGCGGCAGGCACAGCTGCTGCCGACGCCACGGCCGTCGGTCACGGACGACGCAGCAGGGACGCGGCGGTGATTACGTGGTCCACGACACGACTGTCCAAGGACTGGTTACTCACTGCCTTGGCACAGGCGTGGTAAGACGCCAAGGTGCCTTAGACCTGAGTCAACAATATTGCCATCCGTGATGCCATTGTTGGGTCTCTGTGTGAGTCAGGACAAAGCCACGGAATTTCCACCTCTTATGAACAAAACCGCTGTATCGAGGCTGTACAAGTATGTAGCTTAAATGGGCTCGAACGCAGGCGCCTCCAGGTGAGCCCATTAACACGCCAGGTATGCAGATGTCAGCCGGGTTATTCCGCACCGTCCAAACATTCAAGAAATGCTGAATAACTTTGTTCTGTTTCCATTGTCTCCAGGATCCTTATATCAAGTAAAATGCGATCGCTCAGCCAGCGCGAGATTGCTTCCAGTGCCTCGACTATTAACAACCAAGGACAGCCGAGGCTCGGATGCATCCATTTGGAGTTTGGGCCGCGACTTACCAGACTGCAAGCGGTGGTGTCGGCGTACACCACCTGGTAGTTGGCGCAGATCAGAGGACTGAACGCCTGGAGAAACAGATCCTCCGGCAGACGGACAACGGTATCACCTGTAACACACCGGACCCGTCAGACGACAGGCACGCAGCGATCCTCTGGCAGACGGACCACAGTATCACCTGTAACACACCGGACCCGTCAGACGACAGGCACGCAGCGGCTCTCCGGCAGACGGACCACGGTATCACCTGTAACACACCGGACCCGTCAGACGACAGGCACGCAGCGGTCCTCCGGCAGACGGACCACGGTATCACCTGTAACACACCGGGCCCGACAGACAACGGGCAGGCAGCGGCTCTCCGGCAGACGGACCACGGTATCACCTGTAACACATCGGGCCCAACAGACAACGGGCACGCAGCGGCCCTCCGGCAGACGGACCACGGTATCACCTGTAACACACCGGGCCCGACAGACAACGGGCTTGCAGCGATCCTCCGGCAGACGGGCTACAGTATCACCTGTAACACACCGGACCCGTCAGACAACGGGGCACGCAGCGATCCTCTGGCAGACGGGCTACAGTATCACCTGTAACACACCGGACCCGTCAGACGACAGGCACGCAGCGGCCCTCCGGCAGACGGGCCACGGTATCACCTGTAACACGCCGGACCCGTCAGACGACAGGCACGCAGCGGCCCTCCGGCAGACGGACCACGGCATCACGTGTAACACACTGGACCCGTTATGCACCGGGGCACGCAGCGATCCTCTGGCACACGGGCTACAGTATCACCTGTAACACGCCGGACCCGTTAGAAAACGGGACACGCAGAGGTCCTCTGGCAGACGGGCTACAGTATCACGTGTAACACACCGGACCCGTCCGACAACGGGGCACGCAGCGGTCCTCCAGCACACGGGCTACAGTATCACCTGTAACACACCGGACCCATTAGAAAACGGGACACGTAGAGGTCCTCTGGCAGACGGGCTACAGTATCACCTGTAACACACCAGACCCATGACGCGTTTAGTGGCGTTTAGCACCACACACGCCATGGTTCCAAAATCAAATAGAAATGATCGCTGACATATGCACAGAATAAGCCATGGTGCCTGGACAGACCTCAATGACGGGGCGCCAGTGATCTCCCAAGGACTGACCGTCTGATGTGTGGGGTGCGGGGGCGCCACTGACCCGGCACCTGACAGCCTGAGGTCAGCGACGCCGAGGGGCCACTGACCCCGTCTGGCAGCGGTAGATCACTGACCTGGAGCGCCGGCGGGCTCCAGAGCGATGGTCTTGACGTCGAGGGCGTGCAGTTGGTTGGTGAGCTCGGCCAGCGACGCCCAGCAGTCCCCCACGGCCCTGGGGACGGCGGCGAGCTCAGGTCATGACACGGCACGCGGCCACGGCACCAGCTATCCGGCCCGTGTGCGCCACCGCAACTGTCACAAACCAAACCGCCTGCGCCGAGGTTCATGTCAATGTCGTCACTGGCATCGCCACCCCAGCCCTCACACACTGGTGAGGCGTCTCATTTCGAGAAGCGCACTGAAAACACACCCGATCACAGTTATCAGGTGGTCTCAGCGAGCACCAAATTCTACACCACATCAACAGGCAGTCCGAGGCTCACCATACCACAGTAACTATGCCAGCAACAGCGCGTTTCCAGCCTTGCTTCGTTCGACATCACAGGGTATCGGGGCGCCAGGTGGTATCTGAGAGGCACGCGCTCCCCGCAGCAGGTCCTGCGGCGGTCCACTACTTCCCCAACCCACCCGAGGGGCACGCGCTCCGCGCAGCAGGTCCTGTGGCGGTTCACTTCTTCCCCAACCCACCCGAGAGGCACGCACTCGGCCCACCCGGTCCTGTGGCAGTCCGCTCCCCCACCCCCGAGGCGGCGGTCCGGCGCCTCCGCGCTGTCCGCCGGCCGCCCCGAGCCTGACCACGGCCAGTTGTTCTCCCCTGCTCCCCGTGCAGGGGCCAGGCTTGGTCGGCGGCCCGCGGCCGGCACACCGATTTGACGTTTTTCTGCGCCGCATGGCGATCATTTTGAAGTGTATGAGCGCGTGGATGCGTGAGGCTCCTCGAGGCTCCTCGGCCCATACATGGTGGGGCGAACGGCGTTTAACTTGTACTTGAACAAAGACTTATTGCCACTGTAATACCAGTGTCGGAAAATGACATGCGGGAGGCACTTTGGGTCTATCATTATCATCTCATTACGGGGTGGAATCGGTAAATAATTGTTGCATATATGTGTACCAAATTGCAGCCCAACATAAAAAGATGGGACACGGGGCAAAGTTCGATGACACGCTTCGCTTAGAGCAATCAACATTTTTCCTCTCGTCACTTGTCTGAGCAATTACATAGGAGTACCCTTACCACGCCCCGGTGACCAGATTGGCGTTCAGCAGCGTCAATTATCTTGGACGCTTTGCAACTACAGTGGCTTACATCATCACCCGTTACTTCCTCTCTTTTAAACGGCCCGTCCGTTAGCTTCAATGAGGTGCCGTGTTCCAACCTCAAGGCCGCGAGAGACAAGAGTGCTGGCCGGCCACCTCAACCGAGCACCCACCTACCATTCTCTACACCATGTGGCCTAGTCACTATGACCACATCCACATGACTGTGCAGGCGCCGCCGGGACGCTGTTCCCGGGGGACAGACGACACAATCCGGCGGGCCACGCCAGCTCGCCCGACCTCGTGCTGTCCGCCGGTGCGGGACCGTCCCGTCCCCGGCCGGGACTGGTTCGGGCCCGCCCCGGTCTGACCCCACTCACCGCACTCGGTAGTCGTTGGTGCACGGCGGCGGGTTCCAGATGCTGCCCGAGCATAGTAGCCAGTCGGTCCACACCTGTCGGAGTCAGGCGCAGCACCGTCACCGCCTGACAGACAACCTCCCTCTGCACAAGCCGTTTGGGAAGGTCTCATGGCCTTAAATGGGACGAAGCGTATGGCATATCAGCTGAACAAGTCGCTGGTGCCGATGTTTGGACTTCACTGAACATGACCTAGTCGGGGATGACTATGCTCAGCATCGACATTTCTGGCGGTATGCTTCTTCAGAACCAGAGCGTCCTGAGAACCAAGCATCGGTGCTGAACCTCAGCATTAGATCACAATAAATATCTGTTCCAAAGGAGCGCCGAATGAAACTGCCACTGGGGATTACCAAGAGATTTGATTAATTTTGGCCTTCATCAATCTGGTACGCATGGCACAGACATGTTCATCGCATAGCTTCAAACGTGTCGCTCGTAATCCATGTATTCTCAATCTCTCTGAATCTCAGCAAACCCATGACCTTTTTCTAAAGAAAACATTCCTTTCTTCGAGGTTAACTCCTTAAAAGATGAACTCTTCAACTTCTGCAGCTCCTCGACAAAGGAAACCCATGCATTATTGAATCGCTATTCCCACGCTGAGATACTTGCCTTGATGAAGACGATACAAGTCTCCAGTGAGTAGAGTGGAAAGAGCCGGTCGGCCGCCTGACCCTGCTTGGCCTGAAGAGTCAGCAGCTGATTGGCCCGCTGTATCACGTGACCGGCCATCTCTATGGCGACCGCCAGCGCCAGTTCCTGATAGGTTGATCGCAAGTCCGACCCGAGTCTCTCGTCTGGAATATAGACACACATTTTAAGAATGGCTTCACAACACGAAAATTGCAGCAAAAAGGAGACAAAAGAAGAAATTCCGTTTTCCACAAAGCCTGCAGTCGTCACCACCATATGACCACAAACACCAGGACACGGTCGGAAGAACGTCGCAGCCCAACTGATCGAGGGTTCCTTTTCGGCAGCACCGTTTGCACCGCGGTAATGGTATCTGCAATGTGCATGGATGCCTGATAGTCCAGACAATATGTCTGCAATGCTCTACAGCAACCATGTTTGGTAGATATTTGGCAGCGGAGGTCTGCAGCCAATATAAGGTCAACTACATCAATGCGTCACATTAACATAACACAGCACTACTAGCCTTATTCCTCGTAGAATAACCAGGATAATGGAGAGATAGATGGAATGATATTTCGGCTACAAGCGTCTATCGAGACGAACATCAGCAGTTCCGTTGCATCAGTCCATCTATCTCTCCATCCTCCTAATTACTGTAAGCGGAATAATGCTATAAGTGCTGCGTTATCTATATGCATATTACTCCTCGCAAATGCACTTAACAACTTAAGTAATGCGTTACACCACCCGTCTAAACATCGTCCTGCTTCCAGCCACACCAGGGCCGGTACATCAGCGCCAGTGCGTTGTCAGAGCCACCTGGGCACACAGGTGATCTGCCGCACGGCCACAGCTGCGGCGACGGTCAACACCAGCAACAATCACGTGCCGGCCATTGCTTTAATTTTTGCCGGCGACCTTTGCGGGATCATCCTGCGGCACAAAGTGCTGCTGACAATGTTTCAAAACGGGCTGAGGTTACGCGGCGCTGGTGCTGACCTCCAGCACCAAACACGCTTCAGGGAGGTGCCATGTGCAATATATTATGAGCCGCATTACGGAATTAGAGAAAAACCCTGCAAACTTTAGCAAGATACAGGCATTTGCAGGGAAATAAAAAGCTGGCCGAATGACGAAGCGGGTCATATATCCAACGCATGTCTATTATGACGTAGTGCACAAAGCGCCCTGGCTCAAGCCCACCAAGGAAATTCTGGACGAAGCCTTTCGTCTGAGCACACGGCAGGGTCACATTCGCACCATAACCGCAGACAGTCTGCTCCCGCATCATGACACCGCGACTGTACGCCCAGTTACACGGCAGTTGCTGCGAAAACACGAGACAGTGTCCTGGGACGGCGGTGCCGCCGGCTCGCGACCTTGAAGGTCACGCCGCTCGACCTTGTGACGTCACCGGCAGCCAGCGACCCGGCCCAAGGCCACGCGGCAGCAGAACGCGGAGCCGGCACGGCACGAGCAACGACCCCAAGGCCGCGTTCCCCCATTGCCAGACGCCGTTCACAAGTTTTAGCCCATGACGTCAGAGGTGAGTGCGTCACAACAGTTCCTACGGCTTGTGTATGACGTAAACACTTGCGACGTCATATAGGTAGCATAGGTAGCAACTCTTACTTTGGGTACTTTGCCAATGGGGAACGAAGCCCAGGCAAGCAAGGAGACGGCAAACTGCAGGGCGAAATGCCTCCAACTAGAGGATGACATGGATATTATGCACTATCCTGTGCTTTTATGTGGGAACAAACGCAGTGCAAATACTTCTCAGTTGTTCTCTCTGAGAACATCACAACGGTGAATTTGACTGAACGTGTGCAATCGCAGTGGAATCGCAAACAACGTCTGATATTGCTTCACAGGGAGTTTCATGAATTTTATCCTCTGTTTCGTTCTCGCCTTCATTCAAACATTTCATCTATCCACATTTCTTCCCAGACAGAGTTGAGGTTGGTACAGACGGGGTTGGGGTTGGTACAGACGGCGTTGGGGTCGGTACAGACGAGGTTCGGGTCGTTGCAGCCGGAATTCGGGTCGGTACGGACAGCGTCCGGATCGGTACAGACGGGGTCCAGGTCGTTACAGACGGGCTTCGGGCCGCTACAGCCGGAGTTCGGGTCGTTACAGCCAGAGTTCGGCGCAGGCGGGGTTCAGGTCGGCGCAGACGGGGGCCGTCGATCCGGCGCCGCGTCTCCGATGTAATCCGCGGGCGGGCGGCTGCCCGGGTCACCTTGTCAGCGCTGTTTACGGCGGGGGCAATCACCTCACGCATTCAGCGCATATTCTTCGAACGTGAACACAGCATTACAACGGCTTAGGCACGGAACAAGTGATTGGGCATATAATGGCTTGACGGTCCAGAAACATTATCAAATTCTGAGAATCTTACGAAGCTATAAAAAAATACCAGTGGGCTGCCTCAAATATGCCGCATTCGACTCGCGGCCAGTTATCGCAGACATTTTGCCGAATGTGTCGATCAAACCATCATTACCATCATCCTTTCTGGCGCCATAAAACGACCAACCACGATGTCAGACAGCCTTACGACACGTTGCTTATCCGATCCTGAGAGCATCGCACAAAACGTTCCCAAACGCGACGCAGCGTGCCTCCACACGCCTAGCCGGGTTACCGCGTGGCATTGCCGACATGCCGCCAAGGCCGGTCAGTCCCACTCGTGACGTCCTCTTCCACTTGACGGGGAGGTACGGTCACCTTGGTAAGGCCGCACACACGCCGTCGGCTGCTCAGCACGATACCGTATCGTATTCTTACGAGGCACCGCGGTGGAGAGATCAGCATGTTGGGCTATTGTTCTCCCTGTCTATTTTTGAACGTAATAAATGTACAAAACGGCATTCTGAGCAGGACCAATCACATTGGCCTGATAATTCAGAGGCAAACCCCAGAAGCGTCTGAATCCGAGTTCTAAAATAATTCCTATCGAAAACTCCCCGTCCGGCCTCCGCCAGACACCAATACACTGGACGCAAAACTGTCGGGCACACGTGAGACGGCGATAGCACCACCGCTATGGCACGCGACGGACGCGGAACACCGGAACACTCTTCGCCGCATCATCCGTCGGCTGTCCGCCGGCCTGGGGCGCCCCCCCCCCCCCCCCCCCAGGCCGGCCGCCTAGAGCTTCACATCGACCCCAGCCAGTGTCGTCAGACGGATCGGTAAGTAGCGAGCTCCGCCGCCGGAGGACCGGCATGCGTCAGAACACGGCCACGTCCGACGGCCGCTGCTTTTTGTCGTCCACCCGAGTCATTAACACGTGGTCATCCGCGGCACAAAAAGCACCCGGGACGCGCATTCCCTCGCCAGCGAGCCATCGGACGCCGGCTGGCGGGGTGCCAGGCCCCGCACGGGTTTTGCCAGTGACCGGCCGGGACGGCGCCGAAACACGCGAGCCACGGGCGACGGCGGATCACCGCCCGCCGCCCGGCCACTCACCTTTCAGCTTGGTGTTGGCGATGTTGAACATGTTGATGCCGAGGATGTGCAGCATGTCGGCCATTTTGAGCGGCATCGGCTCGCGCGAGAGGAGCTCCGAGAACTGGCGCAGCATCACGCACGCGTCCTCCTGGTAGCTCTCCAGGCTGGGGACGCACAGATAACGGTGGAGGGAAAGGAGAGGAGCTCCGAGAACTGGCGCAGCATCACACACGCGTCCTCCTGGTAACTCTCCAGGCTGGGGACGCACAGATAACGGTGGAGGGAAAGGAGAGGAGCTCCGAGAACTGGCGCAGCATCACACACGCGTCCTCCTGGTAACTCTCCAGGCTGGGGACGCACAGCTAACGGTAGGGGAAAAGGCGCGGTGCGTCCCTCTGCAAGATATGTGGCTTTGATCTCGCTTCTTTGATCACATGCATACGACTGGGTAAGAATCACACTAATGGACGCCAATTACGAAATTCTGAGATGGGCACCGAACTGAGCATAATCATGTTGGATCCAAAACGACGGGCTAAAATGTGAATATTTCTTTAATTTGCTCCTTTTCTCGTGTCATTCACATCTTTGTATTCTTCAAGAGCACCGTTTCTGTACACCTGCAGTGACACATTTTTGTATTAAAATACAACAAAACCCACAGAATCAGTCAGCCCCCATTGCCCCATCTGAGCCCAAGCACCATGCGCCAATGTCCGAGCATAACCAAATCATCTAAAATGCAAAGGAAGGATCACTTTAAGTAGGCATGAGAAATGATCTGAGCGGTGCTGGAGAACGGAATTCAGAGCGGACTAATTTCGCTTACCTGATCCGAGTGTACAGCTTGCCCTGCACGTGCAGATATGTGGTAGTGAACGCTTTCATCAGCTGAAAATGACAGCACCTCTTAGTGCGAGTCCGGACGGACCACACCACGATTCGACCTGCTGATTCACGATTTACAGGTATGACGCAGCTCGGGACTCACGTCAACGTCGCTGGTCTGGCGCAGCTCGTGACTCACGTCAGTGTCGCTGGTCTGACGCAGCTCGGGACTCACGTCAGTGTCACTGGTATGACGCAGCTCGAGACTCACGTCAGCGTCGCTGGTCTGCCGTAGCTCGGGACTCCCGTCAGCGTCGCTGGTCTGACGCAGCTCGGGACTCCCGTCAGCGTCGCTGGTCTGACGCAGCTCGGGACTCACGTCAGTGTCGCTGGTCTGACGCAGCTCGGGACTCACGTCAGCGTCGCTGGTCTGACGCAGCTCGGGACTCACGTCAGTGTCGCTGGTCTGCCGCAGCTCGGGACTCACGTCAGCGTCGCTGGTCTGCCGTAGCTCGGGACTCACGTCAGCGTCGCTGGTCTGACGCAGCTCGAGACTCACGTCAGCGTCGTTGGTCTGCCGCAGCTCGGGACTCACGTCAGTGTAGCTGGTCTGACGCAGCTCGGAACTCACGTCAGCGTCGCTGGTCTGATGCAGCTCGAGACTCACGTTAGCGTCGCTGGTCTGGCGCAGCTCGAGACTCACGTCAGCGTCGCTGGTCTGCCGTAGCTCGGGGTGCTCGTCCTCGTCGTCGTCCTCTGCTGTGAGCGTGCGCAGCAGTCTCTCGCCGCGGCCCGGGTGGACCCAGGTCTCGGTGCGCAGGTCCGTGTGGCGGTCGGAGCGCCGCTCGGTGGCCGGCTCGGCGGCCTGACTCTGGCCCGGCAGAGGAGAGCGGGCCGCGTACTGCCGACGGAACGGCATTCAGGGTCAGCCGAGAAGGACGCGGTCGGCGCCCACTGTCAGCCGGGAGGGACCCGGCCGGCGCCCACTGTCAGCCGGGAGGGACCCGCCGCCCACTGTCAGCCGGGGGGGACACGGCCGGCCGCCCAGTGTCACGAGGATGGACGCGGCCGGCGCCCAGTGTCAGCCGAGAGGGACGCGGCCGGCGCCCACTGTCAGCGAGACGCGAGAGGGACCCGCACCCGAGAGGGACGCGGCCGGCGCCCAGTGTCAGCCGGGAGGGACGCGGCCGGCGCCCAGTGTCAGCCGGGAGGGACCCGGCCGGCGCCCAGTGTCAGCCGGGAGGGACGCGGCCGGCGCCCAGTGTCAGCCGGGAGGGACGCGGCCGGCGCCCAGTGTCAGCCGGGAGGGACGCGGCCGGCGCCCACTGTCAGCCGGGAGGGACGCGGCCGGTGCCCAGTGTCAGCCGGGAGGGACGCGGCCGGCGTCCAGTGTCAGCCGAGAGGGACGCGGCCGGTGCCCCAGTGTCAGCCGGGAGGGACGCGGCCGGCGCACAGTGTCAGCCGGGAGGGACGCGGCCGGCGTCCGGTGTCAGCCGAGAGGGACGCGGCCGGCGCCCAGTGTCAGCCGGGAGGGACGCGGCCGGCGCCCAGTGTCAGCCGGGAGGGACGCGGCCGGCGCCCAGTGTCAGCCGGGGGGGGGGGGGATGCGGTCGGCACCCAGTGTCAGCAGGGAGGGACGCGGCCGGCGCCCAGTGTCAGCCGGGAGGGACGCGGCCGACGCCCAGTGTCAGCCGGGAGGGACGCGGCCGGTGCCCAGTGTCAGCCGGGAGGGACGCGGCCGACGCCGGCCACACGCCGGTCACGTCACATATCGGGCCCATGGTGTAGGCGAGCGCAAACGTCGCCAGGGGAAGAGCATGGTGACACTGTACCACCTGATAGTTGTTAGCAGCAGATGCACTGGTACGCCGATAGCGACGATGACTCCAAAAAATACACGTTAGTGCAGCATCAGTTTAGCTAGCAGTCATCATACTAGGGACCAGTCATCATACCTGATATACTCGACACCGACGAGTAACTATAGCACTGTTAACGTTCACACGGTGACTGACACCCGACTTCGGCGAGGAGCTGAGACAACTCACCTTCTTACTGGACTCGTGGAAGAGTGACAACAGAGATTCCTTAGCCGTGTGGAACGGATTGGATGCCATCAGAGCACGTGTGTAGAAGTACACGCAGTCCAGCCTCTTGTGCTGAAATTCACACTGTCATTCAAGACACTTGAAAGTGCGTGGACATAACTTAACTGGAAGACCAACAGCAGCATAATTCACATGTCGATCAATAGTGATGTAAGTTGCCATAAAAACCATATAAGTACCTTGTCAAGCCAGCCTCTTCCGTCAAAAGCAAAAATCAAAAACATTTCAATGAACGCGATCGATGGTACCACACCCAACAGCAGGACAGAGTTCAGCTAGTGAGTTCAACCAATCGACAATGCTGCGGTAAAGCCGGCGTTACTGACGCCCCAGCCAGACCAGTGTGCAGACAGCCCGGGCATGCCACCGTACACAGTAGCCAGTCCGCCCGCCGTCCGCACGGCTGCCCACTCACCGCGTACAGCGCCAGGATCGCCAGCTGGTTGAACGGCCTGCCGTTCTTCGGGTTCATGCGCTGCGCCTGCACGTAGAAGCTGCGGCAGAGCGGACCAGCCGCGTCACTGAACGCCACCGGCGCGCGTGCCGCGAGCATCAACAAGCAGGTCAACACGTGACAGCTCGAAATCAAGCTAAGCCATAGCTTCTTGTTCACTGCGGCAGCGGAAGGTGGGGGCGCAGGCGCCTTGCATATACACCTTGCAGTTAACACCATAGTTTTGACGAATGCATAACTGCGGCACAAGGTATGAGTGCGCTTGCACATACGTCCCTCATGTCAGCTGCGCCTATTTCTTCCATCATGAGCCTGACAACAGCCTATTTATATATGACGAAAGCAACAGCCATTGCACAGCGGAAGTGGTTGGGCAATGGTAACACTGAAACATCGCCGAACAGGCCAAGCCAGCAGCCGCTATCTGCCCAGAACCCCATCCAGACCGGCCCCCGGGCCCAGGCCCGGGTGCCCGCGGCGCGTCGAAGCACCGGTCACCAGCAGCGCCACCTCACCTGTTGGCCTGGCTGCAGTTGGGCAGCCGGCCCAGCTGATGCTGGTAGCGGGCCAGGTCGCCCAGGCAGAGCAGCAGCCGCTGGCTCAGCGCCATCACCACCGAGCAGTAGCGCTGTCGGATCATCTTGGCCGGGTCGAACGTCAGCCAGCTGAGCTTCTCCACTGGCAGGTTGTAAGCCGTCTGCACGCTACGCAGCAGGCCCAGGAAGAACTCGACGCCCTGCCGAGAGCGGCGCCCGCGGCGTGTCACCACTCGCACGGGCAGCGGCTGGGCGTCGACTGATGGGTCACGCGCCCGAGGTCACGGCGCATACACGTGTCATCCGACAGGACCAGCCACACCCTGCCATGACAACAGAAACCTCTACCCAAATCTGCGTCAGTTCATGCGCGTTGCGCCCGATCCTAGCACCATTTTTACACGCTGGCAAAGTTTGGGCAGTCTTGCATCCACTCGCAACGGCTCTTGTATAAGTCCCGCACGACACGTCGGTCACTTCCCTGCGGCACCTCAGAGTCGCCGGTCGACTCGGTGCACCTCAGTATCGCGCCCCCGGTCCCACCAGTCGCTCAGCTCCCGCCCCGGGCACACCGCACACCGTCGCGCCCGCCCCAGCTGCGGCCGGCTCACGTCGTCTATGATGGCGTGGAGCGCCGGCTGGTGCGCCTCCTGGTCGGCCGAGCGCAGCGCTTCGATCACGCAGTAGTAGAGCGCCTTCCACACCGTCTGGTCCACGCCGAGCGACATCCAGGTGCGCAGGTCGCTGACGATCAGGCGCGCGCACTCCTGCTGCACGTGCTCACTGGCGGCAGGGGGGGGGGGGGGGGCGGTAAGCGCGCTGCCTCACTGTGGCGGTGAGCAGGCGACACGGCGGTGGGAGAATCGCAATGATGTCAACAACGTGGCACATAGTATACAATGTATCAGCCACGAGAGATGGAAAAAGCCCACACGTCATCACACGAGTCAAAGATCTGCACATAAGTGGAATAACCACTGAAGGACCCTTCACACCCAGAACCCAGTCTGGACGCTCCCACCACTGGTCGGTCCCTGCTAGACCGCTGCGGAGGTGCACCTCTGGAGCGGGGCGGGGCGGCCCGGCCCGGTCCGGTCCGGTCCGGTCCGGTCCAGTCCAGTCCAGTCCAGTCCAGTCCAGTCCAGTCCAGTCCAGTCCAGTCCAGTCCAGTCCAGTCCAGTCCAGTCCAGTCCAGTCCGGTCCGGTACCGGTCCGGACCGGTCCGGTCCGGTCCGGTCCGGTCCGGTCCGGTCCGGACGATTTCAGACCGTTCGGACCGGACCGGACCGGCAGCGAGGGGGCCGTCGCCGACTGACCGTATGCGGGTGACGGCCGTCCACGACTGCAGCAGCCGCTCGGTGGCGATGATGTACTCGATCTCGCCGGTGGCGCGGCCCAGCAGCTGCGACACGCGGCTGGCGTTGGTGGCGCTCGACGGCATGCTGCCGGCGGCACGTGGTCAGCGCGGGCCGCTCTCGCAGGCGGCACGCCCACACTCCGCACACGTCTGCTGGCCACAGCTCATGGCGGAGTCTCGCAGAGCAAGGCGGCACTTAGTCCTGCTGACATCCTCTAAGATTTTGCTCTCTGAGCAAGTCCAGCGTCGGCAGACTGCACACAAATCACGCAATGGATTGATTCCATTCCCACTCAGGACAGGCTGTGACGTTCGCTATCGAAATCGGCGTGGGACGCTCGAAAGCACCCCGCCGACCGCAGGCCTATCGCGGCGGAGGCCAGAGCCCGCTCCCGTTCCGCCCCCGGCGGGAGCGGGCGCAGCTACCTGAACGGGTCGGCCCAGGCAGCCGCCTCATCGGTGTACGTCGAGCAGAGGCTGTCCGACCCGGTGAACGACGAGCTGCGACACAGGACACCGTCAGCTCACCTCGCGCAGTCCCTGGCCCGCTGGGAGCTCCACGGGCATTGAAGGCTGACTGGGGGGGGGGGGGGGGGGGGGGGCAGGGCAGTCGGCCAAGCAGGTCAAGGTGAGGTCGTCAGGGTTATGGTCATGAGTTCACCCGATGGCACGGTCGGCCGGTTCGAGGCGCGCTTGATGGGATGAACAGCCGGTCAGTGTGCTCACTTCACCGGTCAGGCGGTCACCCGTCCGTTCGGTGGGATGGTCAGGAGGCCGCTCGCTGGGCAAGGTTGACGCAGCTCCTGACAAGACGAGGTATCTGGACATCCATATCATTGTTAAAGAATCGAGCTTGTGGCTATATTTAGGGTGGCATCCCCCGCCTGTAACACAAGCGGCCCTGAGCCGGTCCTGAGAGGAAGCCCCGGCCTGTGACGGCCGCTCGGCCGGTGCCGCCTGACCTGGGGTAGCGGTCGCGGCGGCCGGCGTCCCCGCTCGGCGTGACCTGCAGCGCCCTGCCCGGGTTGTTCGGGTCGAAGAGGTGGCGCGCCTGCGCTGCCGGCTCCGGCGCACACCGGTACGAGCCGGGCACGTACAGCAGACCGGTGGCGGGCGGCACCTCGGGCGGCCCCGGCCGGCTGCCACCACCGCCGCGCCTGCCAGGGACGGGCGGCGGCGGCGTCACCCCGCGGCACGCAGACGTGTCGTGGGTCGGCCACGGATAGCGGGCGGCCCGCCAGCCCACCGCTAGCCGCTGGCGCCCCGACAGAACTGCTGGTACCGTTCGCAACGTAATAGCGGCGAGGCGCTCCGGGCTGGCTGCTGAGAGCGAGCCGTAAAGTGGCGACAGCGCAGGCCAATGCACGTGAACTATAGCACACGACACCCAGTTGTAAGGCAACTAAAACAATTGCCTTCGAGAGAAAGCGAGGGAGGAAAGAAGATCAACACCATTGCGTCACATCCTGCGATCTCCTGGCAAAGCCTATTCATCCGACTTCTACCGAAACTGCATCGTGCACTGTGCTGTTGGTGTAGTGTCCGACGTCGGGCCGGCCCCACCTGCCGGGGTCGGCGTGTCGGGCCGCCGGTGGCCGGGGTCCAACGTCAGCGCCGTCAGGTCGGGCTCGGTCGGTGGCGACGGCGGCCTGCGGCGGCGCTCAGGGACCGGCGGCGAGCGGGACGACACGCGCACGCCGGCCGACCGCGGCGCGTCGGATGGGGGCCGGGGCGACCCTGCCGACACCGCCGCCCCGTCACCTACAGTGCAGGCAGTCCAGGAGCTGGCCAAGTACAGAACGGCAGGCGCACGACACATGCAGAGTCACATGACGGAAGTCACGCCGACGGAGCGGCGATCCTGGCCTGGTGGCAGGCAGTTATATGGAAGCCAACTGCGAATTGTACAGAAACACAACACAGAGATGATTATGCTAAGAGTGTATGGTATGACAAGACACACCCTGTTGCATTTTATCACTTCATGCACTCCGTTAAGCATTGGGCATTTCGAGCGTCAATGAACCAACAGGAACTGCAATCACTCACCCTTGTTGTTTTCTAGTACAATCAGGCCAGGTGTGACATGCTTTCCGTCGTCTCTCTCGGCCCCACAACCGGCGGCCGCCGCGGTGACGCACACCTCCGCGTCCAGTGTTCTGTCCCGGTCTGAGCGGCGTGGCACCTCCGCGTCCCGTGCCTTGTCCCGGTCTGAGCGGCGTGGCACCTCCGCGTCCAGTGCCTTGTCCCGGTCTGAGAGACGTGGCAACTCCGCGTCCAGTGTCCTGTCCCGGTCCGAGCGGCGTGCCACTGGTTGCTGCTTCGCATCCTTGCCGTCCTTCTCCGCCTGCTTCTCCGCGACTGGCTTTCGCTCCTTGGCTTCCGGCGGTGCGCTACTGCCGTGCGTTACCGGAGCGCGTGACCTAGTCGGCCGGCCGTCCTCAGCGCCGACACCGGCACCGTCGACACCGCCCAGCCGGCTCTCCTCAGCGCCGACACTGTCGCGGTGAACCCGGCCCGGGCGAGTGTCCTCAGCGCCGCCACTGCTGCGATGAACCCGGCCCGGCCGACTGCCCGCAGCCGCGCTCTCGGGCGCCCTCCCCGTGTTCCGTCCGTTACGGTCGACCCTGTTCAGCCGCCCGTCCTCGGTCCCGACATCATCCCCCGGCATCCTGGTGGCCGTTCGACGGCCGCGATCCGTTCTGTTCACGAACACAATGCTGTCCTTAATGCCGCTGCCGCCTTCCGACGCTCGCCCTGTTACCTGACCGCTACGACCGGCCCTGTTCGCTCGGCTGTCCTCTGACCCAGCGACACCTTCCGTAGGTCCCCGTTCGACCGCCCTTCCGGCCCCACCCCGCCCATCGGCCGTCCTGACCAGCCGATCGGCCTCGGCCCCGTCCCGCTCCGGCGGCCTCCCAGCCTTCTTAGGCTCGTCGGCGCGGCTCGTCGGTGCGGCCTCCTCCTGCCGGAGCGCGCGCGGCACATACACAGCGGCAGCGGCCCGCTCTCGGCGCGCGCCCACCGCCGGCTCGGCCGCCGGGGGCTCTGAACGGCGGCGCGCGCGGTCCGGTGGTTCGCCAGTCGCTGCGGCCGCCGTCACGTCCCGCCGGACCGCCGCCCGGGCCGCGCGCCGCTCCCTGTGACGGATAGCCGTTGGCGGCGGGATCCGGCTCCTGGCGCGGCGGTCGCTGGGGCTGGGCACGCGGCGCGCTCTTCGGTCGCCGCTGCGGCTCGGCGGGCGGCGGGACCTCCTCCGGCGACGCGCCGCTCGTCTCCAAGCCAGGACTTGGCCGCCCGGGCCTCACTCAGACGCGCCTTAGGCCTGTAGATGGCCATGTCGGGGCGCTTCGTCTTCCGCACGCGCTCGTTGACGGCCGACATGTCGGCGTGGTTGACTTCCTCACGCGTGGTGCCGCTATCTGACGAGCTGTTGTCCTCCCTCACTTCGCCTGATACAGAGGACAATGTCAGCGAGCCAGGCGTGAATTGACGCAAATATGTCTGATCAACAAGAGAGGTAGAGATATGATGACAAAAAAGGAAACAAGAAACACAATAACTGAAGTCATGTCAATTGGGACTAATGGCATTGGCTTCCTCATGTCACATCGCCATGTTGTGGTTTGTTTTTACTCACACTGCCAAACAGAGGCCAAATAGGAATGTTCTGACAGGCTATGAGGGGAAAGGTTTAACTACTGTGCTTTTATCCCCACTTCCTGTGTTCAACCCTTCTAAGGGGCTACTTGTACCATGTAAAGGCTGTCCATATCACCCAGGTAGGAGCTCAAACCTACACCTGACAACTTCACATTCAAACCAACAGGCCCAGGTGGCTGTGTCACTGTGACAAGAACTTGCTTCTACCACCATCACCACTTGTGTGAACAAGCCTACAGCTGGCATCCATCATATGCATGCAACATCCAGTGTATCTATGCCATGTCTCAGTACCTAGTCTGAAATGCCCTGAGCATGGTTCATGCACATGTGCAGTGCCAACCTAAAACATTTGTATTAGGGCAGTGTGCAGGTAATCTCCACCAGGGCTAGGAGTAAACTTAGAGGATGTCAGTGCCAGGTTTCTACCTACCCATATTGGCAGCAATGGTCTGGAGTTCGTTGTAAGACACACTGACTACTCGAATCCTGTTCAAATCATATTGTTGATCCATAACAGTGCTGGGTGCCACAGTCATGAGCACTCCCTGCAATAGTGTATCCATCTTAGAATCCATGAACACAAAATGACAGTGAACATTAATTGGGAGACATGATGTTGCTTGCAAACACTTCAAAAAGCCATCATAGCTGTCTTCAGGAACCCCAGGATGGAAGGGTAACAAAATCAGTATTTTGCATAAATTACTGATTTACAGAATTGACAATGCAAAACATTCACATAACATATTATGACTTCACCTAGGCATGGTCCTCTAATAACTTAGGATGCATTACTTAGGAAAATAATGCAAATGTTGACAGACCATGTTTTCCACACAATTTTCCCAACATACTGTTTAAGCATTTTAATAAAATTTCTAAATTGTTATCACCTGTTCACTGTTGCAATTAGTTTGTCATAGACAATGCTCTCTGAGAAAACAACAAACAACTGAACATAAACATTTCATGGATGTAGTGTGATACCCTGATGAATACTAGGAAAATTTCAACATGCACATAATGCACATATTTGCTGTTCAAAGGACCTTATGACAGAAATATTGTTTTAAGATGATGAAGCGAGCATCAAAAATGACCTTAGGACCTGGTAGCTGCCCCTTAGCACATGGACATTTTGCTGTCCTTTCATCCAATTATAGTGACCTTGTTACAGGAAACCCAGAGATGACACTGCAAAACCCAAGCAGGGTAGCACCTCTATGCCCATGCCATTGACTTCTAACCCAGATGGAAAGGTATCCAAAGCACAGATTAAAGACCTCCCAATTCCATAGAGAAAAGCATCCCTAATCCTACCCAAAAATGTGTCCCAAGCTTAAAAATACCAGGTGCCACTGGTAACTCATTATGCTCCAATCCTGCAGACATATGTCTGGATCCTAAGGGCAGAGCCAGGATCCTGTAGGTTTCCATGTTTATGAGAGCTAAGCATTGTATGCTAGGATGTTCTAAGGGGCTCCAGGTCAGGCTGCCAGAAATTCACCTACTTCCCAGGATACCTGCACCACATCAGCAAGCTGTGCATGTATGTGTGCCAAACTCAGAGGTCAAATTGGGCTAAATTTTTTATTCATTTTTGTGTAAAAATTATCTTAAGTGTCTCTGCCTGAAATTACCTTCACAACATCACACTTGCATAAAATGATGGCTGACTATATGCCGACATTTGTAGCAACAGTTCTCCTAAGTCTGGGCATTTAGATCCAAGGCATACATTCACTGACATTTTTATTGCAATGTCACTGCTCAATGACAAGCTTAGTGTAACAGGCACTTCTCGCAGTCTGGGCTCCAGGCGCATGTCGGCCTTAGTAAATGGATGCTTTGAAGTCCCTATAGAGAGATACTCCCAAGCCTATGCAAACATCATCACAGTCAGGAAAGAGCGGCAATCCCAGTATTTATAATATGTAATCCATTCATGACAGATGTGAATCTATACATTGTCCTTTAACTGGTATGCACTCAGAATGGACATGTCTGACTTAGGATGTAAATAGCTGATATTGCACCAATGCACATCTCAGGTACTTGCAGCAAATACTTTTCCCAAATTTATAATTTGCTACATGTAAATGTGGTAGTTAATAACACAGACCATTATTTACCACCCATCTGAAGCAATCATTTTAATTCCAGTCACACAGCAACAAACACTGGACATTTTGCCAATGTGACATCAAAAGCTGCCCAGAAAGCATGGCAGACATGCAAATATAATGTCTGGGGCAAACAGAATCCTGCCTCTTAAAGAGTAGTGAGCTACAACATTTTAAACAGCCATTTTAACCTTAGCTATTTCCAAAAATTATTTATCATATAGATTCAGATGCTGCCAGCTTGAGATTTTACCACCTTTTGGTTATAAAACATTGTATCATGCCCTCAATGCTTCAATTCAGTAAGCCCTCTCACAAGCTTTTAAAAGGCCATCCCAAATTGGAAGTTGCATCCCACCTCTTTTTTATTTCTACAAATTAACCACAAATGAGCAAAAAGGAGTGCCTGCCCAGTGCACTTCTGCCCCAAGATCTTGTTGAAAACTGCCATGGTTTGCAGAATATCATTGAAAAGTAAGCATGCCCCCATGTGCATGTCTACCACTCCAAAAAAACATTGAAAAGGAACTAGGTAACACTTGGAAAAATCATTTTTGCATACTTTCTCGGGGTACATTTACGCATTTCCCAGCGAAGGCTATTTTGACGCTAGTTCGAGTCAGGTTTACGAGCGGAATTGATATCACGAGGCAACTTCAAACACAATCCTCTTTATCCGCCGTCTGCTCCATACGAACCAACCAAAGCCCGCCTCAATTACCCTGCCACAAATACCGATGGGCAGGCAATGGACATTCCAATTTACACACACGCGCCGCGCGCGAGCTCAAACTCCGATACACAAGGTAGGCATAAATACTGTGGAGTGAGCACTAAAGTACTGTCAGTGCCTCAGCATTTGCCGTTTGCCATTTCGCTTGCCATACGCGTTTAAGTGTCTGACGAGCAAACAGCAAGGCAACTAGATGTCGGAGGCCGTCCATAAATGATGACAAACTTTTCTCCTATGGTCTTTCACTGCTAGTGCTGGGCGAAAGACCCTTCTCCCCGGTTACGCTGCGGTAACACAAAAGGTTACGTCCGATGGGCCCGATGGCTCTGGGGTGCGGGACAAAGACGGGTTTACTGTTCATCACGGCAGGAACCTTACGGTATCTCGCTTTAGCTTCAACTGTGTTTTTATGGATATTTCAACATAATTTGCAACCACGCCCCAGCGCAACATTACGGTACCCACCCCCGTCCCCCTGCCATGCTTCGGTTGCTCTCAATCACCTTCCCCCGCCCACCCTTTCAGCGAAACAAAACTTTGGGACCTCTCATGCTCATTGGTGTGCGTTTTACCGTGACAAAATTGACAAATCAACCGCTAAAAGCGCTGTCTTGCAATTCTGTTCAATCCCATCACGCCCATATGAACGCATCAAGTAACTGGCAGAATGCACTGTCATACAGCATCTTGAGACATCCCCTGGCCTGGCCTATTTTGTGATTTGTGTAAGGGATCGTCTAGGAGTAGCCATAATAGTAATGCGGCACTTTGTCATGGCTATACAGCCGGGAATGATGGATTGGTCAGAGCCGCACAAATGAAACTGTGGCGCCCCTGCCACGCACACGATACATTTGGGACCAGACGACACTGGGTTCCTGTCCCGGACTCCGTATTCTGCTGGCACATTTCCAACCCAGTCTCCTGCATGTGGCCAATGCAGACGCTATCGCTCCAAGAGGGCGTGGCGACGTGCGTAGCCTTCTCCCAAAAAGGACCAACACTACTCTAAACACGTCCGACTCCCACGCTGGGGAGCCTGGGCTCAAATCCCTCTTATGTCATGTCCCCTGAGCGTTAATATGGCCAATACAACGGCTGGCGCTCCATGAAAGGGGCGTGCCGATGTGCGTGGCGCTCTGCTTCAAAAAATGTCAGCGTCACAAAGAAGGACGTGGTCTGCCAGCAGTAACAGACTACGAGTTGAGTGCAGTAACCTTACGGAGGCTTCTACTGCTCACTGCTGCGGATTTTAAGTCATTGCACTGAACTGATGCTCATTTATTGCTCACCGACCACGTCGCTCTAAGTGGCGCTGATCTTTTTTAGGAAAACGCGACGCCAATGGTCACGTCCCATTTATGGAGCGTCAGCGACCGCATTCGCCACATTAACGCTCAGGGGCCGTGGCACAACCGGGACTCAAACGCGGGCTCCTCACGTGGGAGCCCGACACTGACCACTCGGCCATTACGTCCCCAAGCGACGCTAATTACGGGGCAAATCAAGTCATATGACTAGAATGACGCGTCTTTGCGGTAGACTATTGGTATTGCGGTCGAAGTTTGGCATTTTTCTTCTGTTTCAGTCTTCTGGTTGCAGTTCGCACGTGATATGGCGACGCTCTGCTTACAGCAATAACTGCGTGCTGACAAGAGTCGTAAATAGTTCAAATGAAATGTTGCACCACTTTTGCACCCACCGCGGGTTGGCCAGCCCACTAAGATAAATTTGCCCACTGCATTCTGTTCTCTTAAACAGGCTGAAAAAACTTGGGTTACTTGTATTACCAAGTAGAAATCATGGACACGTCATAGCGCAAGCGGTAAACTCGTCGAACCCAAGCAACACTCGCACAACGAAACGCAGTCCACAGACAACAAAAAGCAACAGCCACTTCCCGTCGGCGTCAAACTCCCGCCACGTCGGTCTATTGGGGAAAATTGTTAGTTTTGACCAGGTCAACACAATTTCAGCGATTGCAACTTAATACCATGTAGTTGTGGGTACAACATTAGCAGGTGAATGGACGTCTCAGCAAGTGGAAGCGCCGAAGCCAATTTTTAAGCAGATTTTTCAGTTGTCGCCATGGACTTTATGCGCATTATCCGAAAGTTGGGGCGCCACAGCATAAACTGCCCCGTGCCTACATCAATGAACACGGCAAAGCCGAGAGCGCTTTTTGAAAAAGTTCAACACATATCGTAACGCGGATAACCAATTTCTTCGCACATCAAAATACAAGGGCTTAGATTTTACTTGGCGGCCAAAGTGATTGATAGAGGGACGCCACAGAATGGTCCTCTCACTAGCCGCGTGTCATCGGGACGAGCTGCCGCACCTGCCCCAACCCCAGGACTGATAACCTGGTGAGGAGCTTACGTCCCACCCAGCGGGCCCAAAGGTCCAGCCGAATGTCTTGTGCAGCGAAGAAAACAGTGATTTGCTCTCCGGTTTTTACTACACTGTTTCAGACACTATGACGGGGTCCGCTGTTGTAAATTCGCAAAATTCTACACAAACGACCGAACACGTCATGCGCAATGGAAAATTGTCGTGGCAAGGAGTTTGACGCCAAGAGTAGAACAGGCCAGCGTATGGGACACCGCATTCGGACAGTGGTCGGATGAACGCCTGCCGTCTATCACGAGACGTGATTCACAAAACAAATATAGCACGTTAAGCAATCCTGCCCGCATAGTGGTCAGACCCACCCCATGTAGACGCCATCAATGGGGAGAATATTCTGGACTCCACTTCAAAATCCTTCACTTCTTTGGCGAAGCAGCCTTCACTGGTAGGCCTTACTCGTTGGCATAAGGGAAGTCACACGTTTCCTGATTTCAAACGTTAAAAACCCGAAATACCAGCTTTCGCCGCTAAGTTCTGGCTTTTCAACGATGCAATAAATTTCCGGTACATATCTCCACGGCACGCGAACTAAGGCATCGCAGTGGGACCTTCCAGCGCTCAACACATCTCAACAAAGATCACTCCAAATTAAACGGCCGAGTGTATTCCTGAACAAAACAGCTAGTGGAGCCAAATATAAAACAACTCTGCCACGCACCATCCCAATTGTAGAAGGCAAGGCTGGCATCTTTAGATACGGCATCACCGAGCGCTCGGATGACGCCGATCAGCTGGCGACGCACATTTTGTCCCGGACCAATGCACGAGCAGTCGGCGGCCACTCGAGCAGGGTGGTAAGAGTCACATTGCCAGTTTCCCACCCTTGGTGAAAAAGCCCCCAAAACGCACACGGACGTAAGCCAACAACAAAACAAACCGACATCGCAGCACATTCACTTTATCGCTGAAGGCTCCGGCGGGGTAGGAAGGGATCAACGGCCAGTGCCCTATCACACCGCGATGTGTCGGGACTGAAGGCTCCGGCGGGGTGGGAAGGGATGAGCGGCCAGTGTCATATCACACCGCGATGTGTCGGGACTGAAGGCTCCGGCGGCCTAGGAAGGGATCAACGGCCAGTGTCACGTCACCAGTGTGTCGGGAGTGAACAAATCTGAACCTGGACCAACTCGGCAGGTGATCACGCACTGCCAATTCATTTACAATAGACGGCCTGAACCTGACCCGTCCCCCCTCCCTTGGCATGATGTGTCCAGGACGTGCGCTCAAACATCTATAAAGTGAAGATATACGATTGTAAGATATTTCAAAAACACAGGAAAACGCTTGAACAAGGAAACAACCGCAATCGATGACACAACCGCAAGTCCCCAGATCGGATTTCCCCATGCAACCCAACACCACATCCCCTACCAGTATAATTACTGCAACGCACTCCAGTAGAATCTATTATGCTCTTTCACACGAAACGGAAAGCACAGGTCTCCCTCCATTTTCCCACTTCAATCCGGAGGAACATATCGGTCCCGGCGCGGCAAGCGAGATCTCACCCTCCACGCGGGCCGCCTCGGCACACTTTGGCAAGACGACCGACGACGGCGGAGCCGCACCGCGGCGACCGCCCTCACGACTGGCGCAGAGGTCACCGCGCGAGCTGCCGACGGCCATTACAGGTCATCTATGAAGCGTAACATAACGCAAAGCTCGAAGAAGGGAGCCTTCGTCACAAAGCTGGTTACAGCTGAACAACGGTAGACGAGGCGATCGCTACAGCCAGCTGGGCTTCGCGTCGCCAGTCCGCGGTAAGTAGAAGCACACAGCCGTGGCATACGCCGGCGGGTCGCGGCGGCACGCAGCAGCCAGCTGTGGAGCCCAGCCGGCGGAGACGTCGGCAGCGGTCGAGGAGCCACGCCACTGCGGACGGAGCGACCGCGCGGGCCCCTCTCCGGTCCAGCGACCGCCGGCCGCCACACAGCGGACAGGAGCAGGCTCCGCCACAGGTATGGCGCTCTCGGGGCCGGATACCTCACAGGATCGCTCAGCGACTGGGCGGCACGCCAGGCTAGGTGGTGCCACGGGCGTCCGGCCGGGCTCGGCGACGACCCCTGTACCGGCGGAGCGGGAGGCGACTCGCGCGGCTGGTGCGGCGCCAGGCGGCACAGAGCCACGACACGCCGCCAGTCCGCCGCGGACCGCAGCACGTGGCGGTAGCCGGGGAGAAGCCTGCAGTCTGGCGGCGACGGCCCCGTACCCACGGCGGACGCGCTGGTCGTCGCTAAGGCTCCGTTTTGCGCAGCTGAGAGGTGGAGGAACAACATTATGAGGGTCACCGCTGGGAACGCCGGCATGCTGGTCACGGCGTCTGGACTATGGCAGCCGTCAGGCTCCCGGGACAGCAGTCGGATTCTTCAGATGTCTCTGGAAGCAATTGGAATGGCGAGCACATTTCACTGGGACCTTGACCAGCAACTCAACTGTCCAGTGTGCGTCGCTTCAATTCGTTACCTAGCCACGTTCAGGTATTACGAGTCGTCAAAGTACATGCGGCCAGGGCCGTGGTTCTTCATGTAGCGTCGGTACTGCTTGTGCTGAGCACTCTGTGCCAGCTTGAGCTTCATCTCCTCCTCCCTCTCCTTCTTCCAGACGGCGAAGACGTCACGCTTCCAGAGCTCCATCTCCAGGTACTCCTCCTTAGTGTCCTCCTCCATCGCCTGCCAACGGACACAGGCGCGCTCAGAAAACGGCCCCGGTCGGTGCAGGTCGGGCCACCAGGCCTCCGGCAGCGGAGCTGGTGACGGGAATCGAGCCACGTCTCCACGGCAGACGCAATAAAGACGCCCGCAAGAAACGTGAGAACACGACCATTTGCTCTCGGATCCCGTGCACCTCAGTGCCATTATTCCTGTTTTATTCACGAAAAAATATGACTTCAACTTGAAGCATGCGTGACAAGATGATGGTCACGCATTGCCAAACATCTGAGACATGCGTGACAGGCTTATGGTACAGGAAAAGCACTTGAGTTCAAGTGAGCAGGACAACATGTAGGTCTCGTTTCCAGGTGCTCAGCAATACTTCCATGGGGGGGGGGGGGGGAGTGGGTACTGATGATGTCCTTATATCTATGGACACATCGTTATTATATTGATCCGGAAGGCAAAGAGGCGCCCAAAGAGGGGAGGGGAGGTGTCTCGGGAGTCCATGGACGCCGCATCCCTCCCCCACTTGACTGTGCCTCTGAACGTTTTCGAAAATCGGACGAGTTATGATCCATCCAAAAAGGACACGCTGACTCCTAAGGTCACGCTTTGCCTCAAACCACATCAGTGGTCGACCGGAAAAGCTCCGCCCTTCCGACCGTAACAACTGGCACTACCCACCGCGATACGCCAACTCACGCCGATTCGTTGAATCATTACAACTCGGAAAACTGCAGCAGGCACTACGAACCCATCGGAACATCACCGCGCGGGGCAAACGAGGGACAATCAGGAAACGCACGCGGAACAGGAAGGCGGCAGCTTGTGCAGAACAGCACGCAAAACGTGTATGCCGACGGCCTGAGCATGCCGCCCGGGACCAGCGTGAAGGCTGACCGACTGGACATGCTCACCAGCGGCTCAGGGGCCGGGCCGGCCGCGGTGCGGACTCTAGCGCCACTCACATCGAACTGCGCGCTGGACACGCCCATGTAGCGGCGGATCAGGTACAGCTTCTCGTCGGTGCCGTACTCCTGGCCGAGCAGCGTGTACTTCCAGAACCAGCGCAGGTACCAGAGCAGCCAGACGCTCAGCGTGTAAGGCAGCAGCACCAGCTGCACCCACAGCACGCTCGTCACCGAGGGCTTGGCGTAGCCGCCCCTGGGCACCAGAAGGCGGTGTTTAATATTCGGCCGCTCGGGTGGCACGGATGTCGATACCCTTTTCACGCTATCACACCCCCGGCTTGGAGTTCCCTGCGTGTTGCCTCTCCCCTTGCTCACAGTCGGCGAATCAGCGTCGGACCAGGCGGCGGTCACCCAGTATCAAAGCGCCTCAGGCTTCACAAATGGGCTGGGTAGGTAAGATACTGGAATGCGGGTCAAAAGGCAACGGATCAGCGCCAACAAAGTGCGTGCGGAGGCCGCCGGAGAGTCAGGGTTGTGGTGGCATGTATGGCGGTGACATGGCCTGGACACCCTACTGGACGAATTTCGAAACGCCGTGGAAAGGGCGACAACGGCCAGTGACGAGCCCCGGCCCAGGCGCGACCTGTTGGAGACGGTAACACAACAGGCGGAGGAGGGGGGGGGGGGGGGGGGGCAGCCTACTGTCAGCTGCGCGACACACACCCTGGTCAGGGGCTTGTGGCGAAAGTGCGGACTGCGGGACCGGCTTCACGCGGACACCCGGGGCCAGGTGTTCACCGAGCGCGTTGGTAGTCAGCACATTACTATGCTGCCAAAAAGGCTCACAAGTCTGGGACCTGCATCCAACACCACGTGCCGTACCCACACTGGTCGATGACTAGTGAACATAACAAAAGAACGACCTCGTTTTGCACTTAAAAATACCGCATTTCGCCGGTTCACTGCGTATAGAAAGGTTAGTTTAACACAGAGCAGCACCAGCAGGGCACATTTCCCAGCAATGCTTAGCATTTCCACACCAGGGAAGCCATAAAAATCGCAGCCATTTCACTTGATTCGCCACGACATGGGAACTCCAACGGCCACCTGCCCGCCCACTCCCAAGCCTGGATACTCTCCTATACACGCACGCGGAAATGTCCACTACGTGCTCACATAGTAAACCTCTACAACGCAGGCGCTTTTCCCCAGCATGACAGCCCAGAAGTGTGCGTCGTAAACGGCAGCGTGACGGCGCAGCAGCCGCCGGCAGGTCAACAGCCGGGCCCGTCACGTTACCGCCGCAGACAGCACGCGGCCGGCGCGGCGGCAATTATCGACCGCGGCCGGCCGACTTCCAATCAGCTGTCACGAGCGGCACGAGCGGCCGGCCGCCCCCGGGTGGCGTGACAGCCGATCGACGGCGCTCGTGTCCCCTCTCCCCCCGCTCCGCCCCCCAGTTCCGGGCAGCAGCGGCGGCCGCCAGCGCGCCTGGCATGGCCGCGTCCCCTACCGGATGTCCATCTTGTCGCGGACGATGTCCCGCAGAATGCGCTCCTCCTCCTGCCGCGCCTCGTCCTTGCTCATCTTCTTGTTGCGCTTCAGGTGGTCCAGCAGCTTCTCCTCCTTGGCGATCTGCTGCGCGCGCAGTCGGTACTTGGGCACCGTGACCAGGTACCGGATGGCCGTGTCATACCTGCCAGCGCACCGCGCCGAGTAAGCCAGCTACCGCAGAAACTGCCGGACCACGTTCTATAAAAGCTTTGACATACAACAAGCGAGCACGCAGGGTGCTCATACTCAGCACCTAATGGTGCACGCGACCAAGAGGGCTTCTCGACAATGTCATGTGTTGGCCTGCTCTGCGAACGCTGCGAGATTAAGGACACCCAAAGATCATAGTCCCTTGGACCCATCTATCCGGCCAGAAATCGAGCCGCGACCACCAGCGGGACGGGCTGATTACATTCCGGGTTTGCGGGAGAAGTGGCCGAGCATCGCTGCATGGCATACCAGGAGCTGCAGTCGCAATAGCGGTGCCCAGAAGTCACATGTTCAGCTGGGAATCGGCCCCGGTGCCACACATGGGAGCTCGCATCGTTAACCACTGGACTACATCGTCTCAATGCCATAAATCTTCGGCGAAATTCATACAACCTATCCAGAGCCAAAGGCTTTCTACATCCAGCAGCATTCAGTCAATCAATGACATATTACCAGCAAAATACAGCACAGTTGGTTGAACAGGCTCTGCCACAAGCGCTATTTCCTTTTTTTTGTTGTTGATTGGAGTTGACGGGCGCGCCGACTGCGGTGGTCATTTGGCGCCCATAACGAGTTTTGTTTTATCTATCTAATGAGCCGCATCAATGGTCCCAAAGTTGATGTGTTTTAGAAACAAAAAATCTGTTGAGAATTCCAGAAATGGTGAGCCATCTCCTAGCATATCAGAGGGTAAGGGGAAAATCATGCTGCCCAAAGTAACGTTGGCGTTCTTCCGCGAGGCGCGGACAAGATATAAGGATATGGCGAACGGTAAGGACAGCACCACATCGATGACAGATAGGTTTATCGGCTCCCTCCAACACATAGCCATGGGTTGCGTTCGTGTGCCCGATGCGTGATCTGCAGAGGATCGCCTCTTCTCGCCGCATTTTGCGGAAACAAGAGAACCACTGACCCAGCTCACGTTTTATCTCTCTAAGCTTATTACCATCCATCCGATCCCAACAACGCTGCCACTTGTCGTGCAGGAATGTTTTTAGTGCAGGGTAAAAGTCTCTTGAGCGCTTTTTCCAGCGTGACTTTAAACCAGCTGCCACACCCCTCAACTGCACCCCTACGCGGTCTTCCCCCGCGAGTCCGCACGTCGCTGAGAAGTTGCTCCCCACCTGGTCCAGGAGGTGAAGTACTGGATACCCGAAATGATGGTGATGGTGACTGCCAGCACGATGCGAATGTCCACTTTGGGGGCCATGCGGCGCCGGTAGTAGCGGTAGTAGTGGCTGTAGAACTCATCTGGGTTGTCCAGCATGTAGTCATAGTCGCTCCGTGATTCGTCATCCTTCAGTATCTCGTAGCTGAAAATCGGGGGTAACATGAGAATAGCAGAAGGCGCATGCTGAGGCTGCAGCATCCTTTACAAGCATCATTTTCCAAGATGCACATTTCCTCTGTTCAAGCCGGTGACGCCAGTTCCGTTCTTCGGTTTTGGCAAAGTTGTTCCCTTCCGCAAAATGGATCCCCCAGCCCTCAAAGTAGTGTGACACCAAAATGGGCGCTCATCAGGTCCATCACCAACAGGTCAGCTGGATGGAGCACTTGCCTTCTGATTCACCCATCCATGTCAGGGTAGGTTTGAGTCACTTTAAGTGCTATTTGCCCCCAACTGGGATGGCCCACAGCTGGTGGCAGTGGCCGCGCTTAAGGCCAGGTAACGTCCGAGGACAGGACAGACCATGCCCAACATTGTGGCATATCAAGCTTTAGTTACAAGGTTCTGCTACTGGCCTTGAGTTTCATGTTTGGAAATGCAAAAAGGCAATTACACACCATTGCTCAAACATATCTTGCCGTGACATTGGTGCATATATCATGGTAAGGACAAAGCACAACTTACGCTGTGGCGATCTCTCGGAATCTTTCGGATGCAGCCTCCTTGTCTTCGGCACTTTGGAAAAGATCTGGATGTGTTTTCCGAGCCAACTGACGGTACTTGGAGGCTATTTCCTTCTTTGGAGTGTCTCTTGTAACACCCAGGACTGGAAGGACATTGGAAATGTGATGAACCCACTGAACACCACCAATACACACGACAATGTCATAGTTCATATCTCAGAAATAAAGATGTGCGCAAAACAGCATTCCATGTGATTGAAACATGCATAGATTGATGATGAAGATAATACAACTTCCTCTCGATGGCTTAGTGACAAGCATAATGGTCTGATCCCACAGCGTGATGTACATGTATGGGTACTCTGGGCTGTGTAATATGTACATGGTTGCTTCAAAGCAAATCACATTGTGGTCCTGATCCACACCTGCAGTTCCTGAACTTCCAGAGGAGGAGAGAACATTTACTACCACAAAATGCATTATTGGTTTTTACAACATGACAACTATCAGTTGTGTTTTACTCATGGGCTGGGAAAAAATGAAGTAAAAACTCATTGGGTGAAAGACCATTCCTTGCTGCACACCAAGCCTTTTAAGCGCAGTTTCTCCATCCAATATACTCTGAGTGATAGGTCTGATCCACAGCAACTAATCATCTAACCCGAATGTGATTATCTATGATCACAATAATTTTTTTATGAACAAATAGGTGTGGGCCCATGTTAAATTTGGGTTGGAGCACAAATGAAGCTAAAATAATTAAAACCTTCAAATACATATGAATACTCAGAACAGGCCTGGTAACAGTGATAAACACATCATGAAACCCATGAGTAGAATAGAGATATTAGGTTAAGCATGTAATCAGTATCAAACATAAACAATAATGCATGCATTGGCAGCATAACACACCAAGCTACTTGATCACAGAAGTACACCTTAAGAACTGCCAACAGTTTCTGAGCCATTCAGAGGCATCACCAGGAAATGATACCAGAGAATGGGCAGCTGATTCTCCTCATACTCATGACTGACACTTAGGGAAAAGGGCAGAACAGCCCAATGGAGATGTCTAGTGCAACGGGCTGTGCTGATATATGCCTGGCACATGCACATACATCCCAGACTGCAAACAACATATATTATGACAAGCATATATGGAGTAGCAAGAACATCCCTGTAAAACTTGACGGCATGTACACCACAGACCTGGGCACTCACAGTTTCATGCATAGCCACCACCAATTTCAGCACATAAATTGCCCATGTCAAGGAATCATGTAGCAGTTATTTTCAGGCAAAAATGCTCTGAAATCATTTTTCACACAAAATTGTCTGGAAGTTCATTGAACTTTGGGATGGGCTAAGCTTAGCAGACTTCTGCTGGGTTCTGCTCACCAATATCATATAGGCACAGTGAATGGATGTTTTGCAGAATGGCATACATTCTTAAAAAGTGGAGCAAACCATGGTCTCATCTTATTTTGGCTTCACCAAAAGTCTTGCTAATCCTATCACAACTTAGAAGGTGGCTATGTACCAGCCTTAGACGCCCATAAAAATATTAGGGGTTCGCAACAGATCCCCCTCAAAACTCTCAGAAATAATCTTACCTGACCACATCAAATAGCTCAGGTTTTTAATGTGCTACTATATTTGACATCAAGTATCCAACCCTCCAGATAAAGGGGAAATGAAAGCATTCACACTAGCTATGCAAGCAAGCAGGCTCTGAAAGGTTTTCAGCCATGTTCTGACATTAAGAACTTTGCTCAATGCACTCGCCAGAACGTGACAATGAAGAAATGTGTTGTCATGTCATATCCCATAACTCACCATCATAACAGTTCTTGAGGCCACAGTACAGCCCATCAATCATTGAGAACGCTGGCTGAAAAGATACTGCGAGGAGCACAATAATGCACAGTTTGGCCATCATTTTGAAGGCACTGTTCACTTGTGACACAAAAATGCAGTTATCAAGATATCAACCGCCCGTCCCAGTAATCCTTCGACACCAAGCAGTCGCCGATAGGTCCCGAAACCACGTTTCCGCGAAGCGCATCGCCGGCGGCAGCAGCCCAACCCACACCGCCGAACTGGCAGCCACGTATACAAAATAGCTGCGACGTTTCACCAAGGCAAGGTAATCGGAATATGAGAGGAAATGTATGGCTAAAGTACTGCTTTATTTCCTCCTTAGCGCCATCATACCTATTCATCCATTTCTCAGTTGCACTATGAATTGATGCTAACGAACATGTTCGTTAACCCAATAAATCTTTTATTTTTGTTGAATACGTGATTGAATTTACATGGTGATGGTTTTCAACCAGATTAACGAAGATGCTGCATCGGCTGCAGCACCAGGCCCATAACACTATCTTGCAAATGCTACACTTTCCTGCCAGAATATCCTGCTATTCTGGCGTTGTGAATACAGGCGTATAAAAATAGTAATGAATTAAAATGCTCTCTGTAGTTCTGTTGGCTGTAACTAGTATTTTTTCGGCGTCTCACAGTCTAACACTTCATTTGCATGTGGTAACCATGGTCACCAATTTGTTGATCAGCCTTTCGGACGGCCTTCGAAAACTTTAT